AGAGAAGAGCCCAGAGCCTTTTTTTTTTTTTTAAAGATTTATTTATTTTTATTGGAAAGTCAGATTTATAGAGAGAAGGAGAGACAGAAAGATTTTCCATCTGCTGATTCCCTCCCCAAGTGGCCGCAATGGCTGAAGCTTTGAGCTGGTCCGAAGCCAGGAGCCTCCAGATCTCCCACGTGGGTGCAGGGTCTCAAGGTTTTGGGCTGTCCTTGACTGCTTTCCCAGGCCGCAGGCAGGGAGCTGGAATGGAAGTGGAAAAACCAGGACATGAACAGGTGTCCATATTGGATCCCGGTGCAACAATGCGAGGACTTTAGCCCCTAGGCTGCAATGCCGGGCCTGAGCTCAGAGTGGTAACAGCTAACATCCTTGGGGAATCAGCTAGAGTTTGTAGGACAGCCTTGGGAAGGGAAGCTACCAGGAAATGATGCACTGGCAGAGGCTATGCAATTTGGAATCTTCATTCCCACAGAGAAGAAAGATGCGGCTTTTTACAGCCACTTGAACAGTCTTTCTTTTTTTCCTTGATGACCTGTTTATTTAGTTGAAATGCAAAATTGTTGAGAGGGAAGGAAATGCAGTCCCCCCACCCGCCCTAAAACACACCATACACAGGTTTTGCAGTCTGCTGGGTCACTTCCCAGATGTCTGCCAACAGCCAGAGATGGGTCAGGCCGAATTCAGGAGCCAGAAGTTTCTTCCTGGTCTCCCGTGTGGGTGCAGGGTTCTAAGCTCTTAGGTGATCCTATGCTGCTTTCCCAGGCACATTGGCAGGTAGTTGGATTTGAAGTGGAGAAGTCTGAACCAGCACTGCAGAAGGAGGATTAGCTTGCTATATAACCGTGCCAACCCTGAGGGAAAACCTTGAGAAACAGCTTTATGATACAGGTGTTTCAGATAGAAATTGCAGCCTACTGGCGCAATGGACACTTCCAGTTAGCAGAGTTGATCAAGATGTCAGTTCATTGGGAGGGGTTCTGATGGAGGAGCCTGGGCAACTCCTCTTGCAGGACACAGACCTGGCAGGTAAGTGCAAGAAGGGTGATAGGAAACACCCCAGAACAGGCCATGGAAAGTTTACCACTGGCATACATTTAGCATGGGTAGGGGACAGACCAGGCTGAATCAGTTCACAGTTAAACCACAGAACCACCTAGAGAATGCATAATCCTAACCTGTCCTGTCCTTTGTTCTCTGCTGTGACATACTGTTTCTCACATTAGACGTGATTTCTGTTGAAATACAACCAGAATACTAAGACAGTCTTCATGGATGTCTCTTGGTTGAGGTCTTCTAGCTTCAGTATTCATGTATTTTCAAAGTTCTGCTGCAAATACTGTGAAAGTGAGCATGAAAACCACAAAAATAGTTGAGTTTGGTCCTCTGGAAAAAATGCTTTTGGATGATTCATTTCATTATGTTTTTAAGTTCAATGAATTTGATCACCTTGAAAACCTTTTGGTTTGGTATGAATAAATAATAAAAAATGTCATTGTTCTCTGGAAAAGGTTTGAATGTGTTATGTGTAGTGTATCCTTAAATACTTACTGGTTGCAGATAACTCTATTTGGCTTATAAATCAGTGCAACATCTGTAATGAGCTATGTGGCAGTATCTGAGTTGACGTAGAAATTCTCTTAATATCAGTTTTAGCCCTATGGCTAAATATGCACGTGAAAACTCTGTGTAAGTATGTTGTATAAGAGGAAGACTGCAGACACCTGTCCACATGAAGAGATGATTGCTTACATAAACCACGGGGCGTCCACAGAAAGAAATGCCGACCAGTCCCTCACAGAATGGAGCCACCATGTGTGTACAGATATGAAGGCACTTCAAAGAGTTCATGGGAAAATGAATAAAGTGAAGGTTAGGGCCAGGCTCAGTAGTGTAGTGGCTAAAGTCCTCTCCTTGAACGCACCAGGATCCCATATGGGCACCGGTTCTAATCCCAGTGGCCCTGCTTCCCATCCAGCTCCCTGCTTGAGGCCTGGGAAAGCAGTTGGGGACAGCCCAAAGCCTCGGGACCCTGTACCTGCGCTGCAGGCTGTTCCAGTCACTGAGGAGTTAATCATCAGACAGAAGATCTTTCTCTCTGTCTCTCATCCCATCTATATATCTGACTTTACAATAAAAATATGTTTGTTAAAATTAATTATTTGTATTTATGAGAGAGAAAGATTCCATCTATCTAGGTCATTGGAAGGTCATTGTAATGACATTTTTAGGAGATAGTGTGTGATTGGTGCTAAAGTCAGCTGTAAGGTTAAAGTGGAATGCAATTAAAATAGTTTTAAAATCTAACTTTTAATTACTTTTTTTTAAAAAGAAAGATTTATTTTATTTTTATTGGAAAGACAGATATACAGAAAGGAGGAGAGACAGAGAGGAAGATCTTCTGTCCAATGATTCACTCCCCAAGTGACCCCAACAGCCAGTGCTGCGCCGATCCAAAGCCAGGAGCCAGGAACTTCCTCCAGGTCTCCCACGCAGGTGCAGGATCCCAAGGCCTTGGCCTGTCCTCGACCACTTTCCCAGGCCACAGGCAGGGAGCTGGAAGGGAAGTGGAGCTGCTGGGATTAGAACTTGTGCCCATATGGGATCCCGGGCGAGTGAGTCACCGGTGGGGAACTGGCTGTCTCTCCCTCTCTGCCTATCTCTGATTGTCTCTCTCTGTCTTTTAAATATTTCAAGAGCTGTAAGAGGGAAACATAGATCTTTAACTCTCTTACTCCTGGTCACCTGCCCTCTGGCTTGTTGTTGTTGTTGTTGTTTTGTTTTTTTAATTAAGGACTGTTTCTAAGATGCTGGCTTCTCAGAGCTTCCCCCGAAAGGGTCTATGATCTGAAAACTTCAATACCCCTGGAGTAGAAATACTATCTTTCAGGAAGGGATTAATTTATAGGTAGTGGCTGTTGGAGGACAGGTCTTGGGACATTTGTTGGAAAAGTTGATTATGCTTTAGGGTGAGGCCAACCGAAACCCACACACTTCTGCTTTACTTCCTCCAAAGAACAACAATGAAAAAACAAAAAGCCACCACAATAGCGTGCTACAGAAGTGGCACAGTCCCCATTGTTGGCTGTGACCGTCACAGCCATTTGCTGCTCAGTGACAGGCCCCAGCCCTGTTGAGCAGTTTGGGCTACTGCGTCAGATCCAGCACACATTGGGGTCTCAGTGGAACTGGAGCTGAACTTCTCCAATGTGTGCTGGAGAGTATATTAAAAAGGGATACCACTCCGGAGTAGGGGGAAAAATAAAACGCTAAAGTGACAATTGTTTGCGACACTTGCCAACTCAAGGTGACTGTTCTTTCTCTGGAGTTTTGCGATAATATATGAAAGTTGCAGGAGGAAGGTTTTTATGTTCCTGTTATGGCAAGGCTTCCTGTTTACACCTTTGGAGGAAAAATTTTCTACCAGGGTGCCTGAAGTCCTATTTTAAGTATGTTCATTTTGTTTCTCATTCTGCAGTCATTAAGGGCAGGCCCTGGGGCAGCTGAAATGAGCCGCATGGATCTGTAGGAGCCAGAGTCTAGTAGGGAATTGGGTCAGTACTGACGTGGTTGTGAATGCGAGAGGCCTGAGCGGGGATTTGGAGGACAGGAGGTATTTTCCTATGGAATAGGAGTGTGGGAACGCACCCAGCAAGATAAGCTGGGATGACAGATGCCAGACTGGAAACCTGTAGAGAAGAGGCTGCAGGAAGAGGAGGTGACAGGTGCCTCACCCAGCGTGCATGTTGCTCCCACTGTGTCCTGGGAGAGGGTTCCGTACTGCCCTTGACGCAGGGCAAGCATCTGTGCTCTGTCTACCCAGTTAACCAACGGCAGATAGTACGCACAATCTATTCTTTATTTCACTCATGCTTTGACCAAAGGCACCTTGTTAGCTTCCCTTGAACTCGCAGCTTACAGGCATAACCTATACCTGAGTTGTGTTTAAACTATTGTTTTGTTAAGCTAATATAAACTGGAATCCTGGAAATAAGCTTTGTCCATTGCTCAAGAGAGCACTATTTCCACATTTCTTTTTGGTCACTCTCCTCCCCAGGGACCTGCAGGGTAAACTTGTACAGGAGGGGAGGGAAGGCATCGAAGTGGAGACCTCAGGCCACTTCTGTCATAGGTAGGCTGCCGGGCCAGGATCTCTGGCTTTCTTTATCAGAGTGCAGAATCCCTTCTTGGCTACTCTGCTTCCCATCCAGCTCCCTGCTGGCTCAAACACCTGGGAAAGCAGTGGGTAATGGACCAGGAACTTGTGTCTCTGTCAGCCATCAGCAAGGACGGGATGGACTTCCTAACTCAGGCTTCAGCCAGCTCTGCTATGGCCATATGGGGAGCGAAACAGTAGTCTGAAGATTCTGTCTCATTCTCTCTTGTGTAGCTCTCTACACCCAGCTGTGGCTCCGAGTTTGCAATAAATAATAAATGAACGAAAGAGTGAATCTTTTTATTAAAGATTTATTTTTTACTGCAAAGTCAGATATACAGAGTAGAGGAAGATCCGTCTGATCTTCCCCAAGTGAGTGCAACAGTCGATGCTGTGCCAATCCGAAGCCAGGAGCCAGGAAATCCCTCCAGGTCTCCCACGCAGGTGCAGGGTCCCAAGGCCTTGGGCCGTCCTCGACTGCTTTCCCAGGCCACAAGCAGGGAGCTGGATGGGAAGTGGAGCTGCAGGGATTAGAACCGGCGCCCATATGGGATCCCGGCATGTTCAAAGTGAGGGCTTTAGTCACTAGGCCACCGTGCTGGGCCAGAAAGAGTGAATCTTAAGAAAAAAAATCCTGTTGGTGTGGTGACACTTGGGTTGAGATTATGGGCCCATTGACTTGGTATTTTTATGTTCATATTTGGCATAGATTGCAAATGTTTTATGTAACTGAAGTCAGTAAATGCTTAGCTTGTTGGGACAGGACTTAGTATTATAGTGAGGACCTACGACAGGGACATCTCTGCCCACCTGAACTGTGATGACCCTACCTTGTCACTAAATAATGACATTTTCTGTTCAGCCTCAGAAATCCTGGATCGAAGCAGTATTTGAGAAGAGAGAGTGTAATAAAATCATACCCAGTTCAAAAGACCCACACAGGTAACACTTTTAATTATATTTTTCTTTTTATTTCATTTAAAAAAAAGTTTGGATTTTTTTTTTTAGCTCTATATTTTTCTTTTTAAAGCAACACTATTTGGAAACTTGTAGTCACTTCAAAATATGACCTATCCAAAGGATTTGTAATATGCCTAAAGTTAGTATTTGCTAATCCTAATGATTATTTTTTCTCTTTATAAAAGCAATACATGATGGTTAGAAAAAAAAATGGTAAGAATAGGGACCTGGTTAATCTGATACCTTACTCCAGTCGCAGTGCCCATCATGTGGCTAGCTTCCGATAAACATCTGCTCAATCAAGTATACAAAAGGAGGAAGTTTAATGGAATGACATCATTCAGTACTGTGGTGGATTTCATTCCATTTGATGCTCCAATTCCTCTTGATAGGGCTGGGGGGCAGAGACATCAGGGGAAGAATGCATCCGTTTCACTGAATTTGGGTAATATTAAATACTTTACAATTCTGACTATGAAGTCATCAAGCCATTGGGAGTGTCTCCTGGGCCCCAGAAGGGTGTGACTATCTGTGGAGAACAGGAGCTGGTCAGCACGCTTGAGGACATTGTTCTCAGATCACATCACTGCTGGTTCAGTGCCTCGCTCCTCCCTCAGGCTTCTCATTTGAGCACAGGAGAGACCATAGGATGGAGTGATTTGCATTGGACTACTATAATCATTTAGAAGCTCCACTTGCAGAACAAAGTTCGAAAAGGCAACCTGCGAAAAACAGGGAAAAAAAGGGCTATGGAAAATCCCCCAGGGTAATCAGGTTCATGAAATTAAGACTGGATGGCACTGCCCTTTGTGGAAAAGTAAAACGGAAAGTAAATAAGGCAATGTTTCAGTGGGGAAAATCTATTTTTAGATATCTTTCTGCATTCAGTCTTATATCCATTTAAAGTAGAAATCATGACTGTATCTTGATGGAAGTGTATCTTGATGGCAAAACAAGGTTCTTGAAATTCTCCTTCTTTGGGGATGACTAAAATTGTGTTCCTTGCATCTGTCAAACATTTACCAGTCCCACCCTCACTGAATGACTTACAGTTTTAATCCCTGTGATTGGAAATTTTCATCTTTCCTACTTACAAAACATTTACAGAATGCCAAGGTAACCTTGTTTGTTCCGTCCATCATTTACGGTACCTGGAGATGCGATCGGGCCACGGTGGGAGCAGTCTGAATTGCGTCCTGGTGGCTCCTGCTGCTCTGTAAACGGAAAATTCATCTTCACAATTGCCCTGAGTTCCACAGAGAGGGACACCAAGTTACTATGTCTGTTAATTAACCAACCCATGCACTCAGCAGCAACATTGATGCTTGTAATTGTACAAGTGTGCCAGGGCCTTCTGCATGTTCTCTCAGTAGGTGTTTGGCCAGTCTTCCTCCCTCCCTCCCTGCCTTCCTGCCTTCCTTCTCTTTCTTTTTTTCTCTTTCTTTTGAGAAGTAAGTTACACAGAGAGAGAGTGATCTTCCACGTACTGTTCACTTAGAATGACTGCAGTGGCTGGAGTTGAGCTAATCTAAAGCTAGGACCCAGGAGCCTTTCCCCCTGTCCCTTGCAGTGGTGCAGGGTCTCAAGGACTTGAGCCATTCTCCTGTGCTTTCCTAGTCACTAACCAGGCAGTTGGATTGGAAGTGGAGCAGCTGGGAACGGAACCAGTGTCCATGTAGATGCTGGCGCTGCAGTTGAAGGATTAGCTTGCTAAGCCACTACACCAGTCCCAGTAATTTGCTTTTATTTTTATTTTTTGATTTATTTATTTTTATTGGAAAGTCAGATATACAGAGAGGAGGAGAGTCAGAGAGGAAGGTCTCCCGTTCAGTGATGCACTTCCCAAGTGGCCACAATGGCCGGAGCTGTGCCGATCTGAAGCCAGGAGCCCAGAGCCTCCTCTGGGTATCCCACAAGGGTACAGGGTCCCAAGGCTTTGGTTCATCCTCAGCTGCTTTCCCAGGCCACAAGCAGGGAGCTGGATGGGAAACGGAACAGCCAAGATTAGAACCGGCGCCCATATGGGACCCTGATGCATGCAGGGCGAGCACTTTAGCTGTTAAGCTACTGCGCTGGGGCCCTACTTTCAAATAAAAATTTTTCTCTTTTATTGATTCTTTTTGTAAACTAATAAAAAATAAATTTAATAATGTTGAATGTGATACGATTTTCCTAGTTATTTTTTATTTATTGCAGTGAAGTTTTTAAGAAAAGATCGTCCAAAAAGCCAGCGACAGAAGGAAGTATAAGCCTTAATTGTTAGTATCTGAATCACTTGGCACCTTATTCTATGAGTATTACCTTTCTTCCATTATTTTAGACAGAATTTTCTGTTAAGAATTCTTTATAATGAAAATATGAACCTCAATGACTATAGTGCCAAAGCTTCAAATCCAGAAAATTATTCTAAATTATATTTAAAAAGAAAAATTAATTACAATTGTACCATCACCCTCCAATTCTGTTAAAAATCCCATCAAAATCCTAAATATATATATATATATATTTCATGGAACATGCCAAAAATTATGGTTCAAATATTTAAAAAGATAAAAGGATTTTCTTTGGTTGTCAAGAATTCTGTTACCCTTGTATTCAACAAGCACAGCTCTCCGTATCGTTTAAACAGTGCTGCAAGATATTTTGTACATGTTAGCTCAGGCAATCCTTTCGATAAGGACAGATGATATTTTCAGATGTTGAAACGGAGGCCTAGCGCAATCATTAAATGAATGAAATGTAATTCCAACTTTCATGCCCTATCAGTTATATTATGGTTGCTGCAGTACAGTTACATTTAATGAATGACATGTGGGAATATTTGGGAAAAGAGAGAAGAAATTGGTAGACTTCCAGAACCAGGGAAATAGTAGGTATGATTTTTTGTACAAGTGCAATGAACCTTTTGAAATATATCAGTCGATGAACAGGCATTCCATTTTCTTCCTTTAGGTGTACTTCAGGATGCCAGGTGTGTCAGAATTTAATCAGGTAAGATTTAGATACGGATTCTCTGTAACTTGAAGACGCTTTGTTTAAAGAAGTTTTGGGACAGTTTCTTCACATTTAAGTGGGTTCAGTGAAAGGTGAATTTCATTGATGATTTAGTACATGGACCCAAATATTAACTTATTTGAAAGGAAAGAGTGACAGAATGAGAAGATAGAATGGGAGAGAGATGCTCTGTCTGTTGTTTCACTCTCAAGGAGGGAAGCAAGTGAATGGCACGTTGCTTATTTATGTACTAGGTTACAAAATGGCTTGTTTGTGTTGACCAAAAAGCTAAACAAAATAAAAATGCTAAACAAACCAAATTTACTATTTAGATAACTCAGCAAAACATTTCTGTGCTGATTAACCAGCGTAAAGTAGAACTGTACTGAATTCTTGGCAATGAAAACCTTCTTCATATTGAAAGACCTGAGTATCCATGTCACTTTATCTTTCTACTCATTTTGCTTAACTGAATGTTACCCCTTAGCCTCTACTTTTGTTTCTGCCTTTTTTTTTTTTAAAGATTTGCTTTATTTTTATTTGAACAACAGAGTTATAGAGAGAAGAGACAGAGAGGTATTCCATCCACTGGTTCACTCTACAAAGAGCCGCAATGGCTGGAGATCAACTGATCTGAAGGCAGGAGCCACGTATGGGATTCCTGTTTTGTGGTTTGAGTCCTGGATGTTCCACTTCTGATCCAGCTCACCGCTATCGACTGGCAAAACAGCAGAGGATGCTCAAGTCCTTGGAGCCCTGGACCCATGTGCAAGACCAGGAAGCAGCTCCCAGCTTTGATCAGCCCAGCTCCAACTGCTGCCAGCATTTGTGGAGTGAATCATTGATGGAAGGCCTCTCTGTCTGTCTCTTCTCTTTCAAGTAAACATAAAATAAAGGAAAGGAAATGTACAACCCGATACATGCTTGCTGCTCCCAGTTCATGACATGCTCAGGGAGCCAGCTGTGGGAGGGTCAGTTGTGTTGTTTCGTTGCTGTGCTTCTGTGATCAATGCTGTATTTAGTTTGCAGTCTCATCGAAGGGAGATGGTCAGTTTTGGGCAGGGACTGCTTTGATCGCGGCCCAACTTGTCGGCTCTGAAGTTGCTTTATTTGCAGGTTTTGTCCATTGAGAAACCCCTGAATTGCTTCCATTTCATGATCATTGTTAATTCTGCTCTGAGCAGAAGTGTGCAGATTTTTAGTTTCTTTCTGAAATGTTATCTATGTATTTGAAAGGCTGTGTGAGAGAGGAGTGAGGAGAGAGAGGAGTGAGGAGAGAGAGAGAGAGAGAGAGAGAGTGAGAGAGAGAGAAAGAGAGAGAGAGTGAGAGAGAGAGAGAGAGAATCTTCTAGCCACTCAGTCACTTTCCAAATGGCTGCAACAGCCAGAGCTAGTCCAGGGTGAAGCCAGGAGCCAGGAGCTCCTTCCAAGTTTTTCTGGGTGCCAGGGCTGAAAGACTTGGCCCGTTTTCTGCTGCTGCCCAGACCATCGTCAGGGAGCTAGGCTGGAAGTGGAGCAGACATACGGGATGCTGGCTTTGCAAGTGGTAGCTTAGCCTGCCTGCCACAGTTCCTTAGTGTTGTCTTTTAAACATTCCCCAAATGACTATAATGTACAGTCAAGGGGGAGGACCCCTGAGGATGTTTCTAAATTCAGAACACAATTGAACGTCCTAAGTCTTCATGTGAAGTACTACACATTCAAAATGTTCTTGGGAAAAAATCTCACGGTGAGAAGTATGTATTCATTTGAAAATATCTCGTACAAAGGGCAGATGCTGTGGTGTGGCAGGTTAAGCTGCCGTTTGAGATGCCCACATCCCGTTTTGGAGTGCCTGGTTCAAGTTACTCTGAACCAGCTACTCTGCTTCTGATTCAGCTTCCTGCTAAGGAGTATCTGGGGAAGCAACAGAGAATGGCACAAGCACAGGCCCGTGCACTCGTGTGGGACACCCAGGCTGATCCTTACGTTCTTTTGGTTTAGTTCGTCCCCAGCTGCTGCACGCATTTGGGATGGCTGGAAGGTTTCCTTTTTTCTCAGTCACTCTGCCTTTCAAATGAGTTAAATTTTTAGAAATCTGTAATGTTTTTTGCACCAAAAAGAGCATATTGTTTAATTTTATTTTCTGTGATTTTGGGGAAATAACCTTATTTATGCCGTTTGTACAAGTGCTTTAGGAATGTGTAGAAACATTTCATCCATTTCTTCTTCTGTGTGTTTTTTTTTTTAATTTCTGAATTTAAGATGCTACTGTGGCCGACTGGTTGGAGACCATCAAGGAATAGATGATGCGTGGACCCTCTCAGCTGCCGACGGTAACGACGATGAAGCGTGGTCTGTTGAGAAACACACAACGAAAAGCTCTACAGACACCTTTGGCACCATTAACTTCCAAGATGGAGATCACATCTACCACTCCAAGGTTTTCTAACAACTCCTTGCCTTTCTCTGGTTTTAAACAGGATAACCACTAACATATCTCCAAGGGCAGATCATCCAATATCCTGGCTTTATTGCCAAAGGATCTGAGTTATTGAGTCCTAGACAAAAATGATGTGATTATTTGCTTTATGTCTGGGAGCCACTGGTCCTTTCCCAGTGGTGGTATGGCCACATTTTCAATTAACTTTTTCTTTTGCAAACTTGTACCCTGCAGAAGGCTGTAGCTTATTGCTCCAAGAAAAGTTAGTAGCAGTGAGCAGGCATAGGCTGAGCCGTGATCACAGAGATTACGCACAGCTTGGAGCCGTCCTCATCTCCTAAGTTCTCATGAGGGCACGTTCTCGGGAAAACACCTGTCTTCACCCAGCAAGGGAATTTTGCCTGTGATTTGCAGCGCTATCCCTCCTGTATCTTGTGCATGATAAGTTTTGCTGAGGGAACCGCAGGTGGGGCGCTTGTCAGGGAAGGGCTGGTTCCTCTGTGCTCCAGAGCGTGATCAGCAGTCGGGTCGATGGTGCGACACCAGTTTCCGATAGTGCGGTTCTGATAAAGTTTTATGATGTGGCTCTGCAGTAATCTGCACTGTGTGATTAGACCTCTAGCTCGGAACTTTGCGTGCACATGCTTTCTTTAGCTGACCAAAAAATTGCCTTTTTTTGGAGACTGATTCTTAGAGAACCTTGTGTGTAACTTTTACTGTAAGTTTTACTCTTCTTCTTTTTGTTTTTGTATTTGGTCTTTCACTTTTACGTATTCATTTTTTTGCGCCTACTTAATAAATATTGACTGGGTGCCTATACTTGGTGTACCTTTAAGTGCATATGTCCATGTAATAACATTGCTTAAAGTTTGGCAAAAGAAAGAGCGAATAAACACATAATTACTGTAGAGGGTGAGGAGCCTATGCAAAGGGTATGTTTGAATGAATGAAAGAATAACTCCTCTTGAATTTGGGGGGGACTTCAGCCACTAGGCTACCACACCAGGCCCCTGTCTGTGTCTTGAAATTTTTTATTTATGGATTTGCCGATGCAGGTCTCCTGGAGAACATTAGTGGGCTAGCCCTGAGGCCAGAGGAAGCTTTCCTATGGGGAGTCTTAATTCCCAGAAGGAACTTAGAGGGGGTGTGGGATCCTCTACAAGTAAATGTTTCCATTCCTTAAAGCTTTAACCTGCCCCTGGACACTTCCTTTCTGGGTTTGGCCATCTGGTCACCCTGCTGAGTGCTTATTGTTCCTACCCCGCCGTGAATGTTTCGCCATTTTCTGTTCATGCATGTATGTATGAATGTGTGTGCGTTTTTTTTTTCCAGTATATTCGAACTTCTTATGATACCAAATTGGATCATCTGTTACATTTAATGTTGAAAGAGTGGAAGATGGAACTGCCAAAGCTGGTGATCTCCATCCATGGGGGCATCCAGAGCTTTAAGATGCCCCCCAAGATTAAAGAGATCTTCAGCCAAGGGTTGGTCAAAGCTGCAGAGACCACGGGGGCATGGATAATAACGGAAGGCATCAATACTGGTAAAATACGCCCCCCCCTTCCTTGTTTCCTTTCTTTCTCTCCTTCCCTTCCCTTCCTTCTTTTATCTCCCCACTGCCTCCAATTTCCATTTTCCTATCTGTTCTCTATTTCTATCTCGTCTCTATTGCCACGAGGTAAGCGGAATGGTAAGCGTATTTCTTTATCTCAGCATTTACAAAGTGTCTGCCTGTTGCAGTCACCTGGGGAGATTTTTTAAAATACACACGCACAGACTCCCCAGGATGAATTAGAGGTTTTCAGGGTGGAGCTGATGAAGTTTGTCTGATGTGCAGCCAGAAGGAAGCCCTGGTAACTCCACAGGCCTTCTCCTCCGTCATATTAACCCGTGCTTTCCCATCTCCTCTTGGCTTCTCTTCGCTATGATTTGAGATGTCTTAGTGTCTTCTGCTAGATTCCACCTGTACTTCAAGATCCGAGCAAGATACCGACACACCCGTGGAGTGGCATCTTAGTATCTCGAGCCTGCTCACTTGCGCCTTAATTTCTGTAGTGCCAGCTGTCTGAAGCGCGGGGGCCCTTCCTGAGCACCACGGATCTCCTTACTTGGTTGGGCGCTAGGGGCCAGGACCTACACATCTGCCTGAGTGATTCACAGCACATACTGATATTACCCATGATATCTTTTGACCAAAAAGGAAAAAAAGAAGCAAATGACCAAAAAAAAAAAAGTCAATCTAAGAGATTTGAGCTGTGATGAATATATACATAGTCTTATAGTTCATCAGGTATATTTTATAGATAATAGTTAATAATTGTTTCACTTTGCTGGGAGTGAAAGAGGTCTAAGTCCATTGCACAGCACTTTCTTTCTAAGGAGAAGTTTTGCAGTACTCAGAGAAAAGCAAACTTGTGCATGCCTCTTAGTAACTGCATTAGGTTCCTTTAATTTTTTTTCTTTTATTTGAGAACTCCCCTTCTAGGGGAGTGGAGGAGGGCAGAGAATGTTCTGGTCTGCTAGTTCACCCCCAAACGCCCGTGTTTGCTGGGAGTGGGCCAGGTCTGAAACTGGAAGCTATGAACTCAACCCTGGCGTTCCCATGAGGGCGGCAGGGTGCCATCATTGTTGCGCCTTGGACTCTGCACTGATCGGCACTTGGAGTCAGGAGTTGAATGTGGGAATTAAACCTAGATATTCTGTCTGGGGGCACAAGCATCTCAGCTGGTGTCTTACCCGCTTGACTATGTGCTCACCCCATACTTTGAAAGGAAAACAAAAACAAAAACAAAATACCGCCACCAACAACAGCAAAAAACAGCAGAACTAACTAACCTAAGGAAACCCACACGCAGTAGTGTGAGATAGTTCATAGGATGAGCATCAAATTCAAATTTTACACTCATTGTAGTATTCCTAGCAATGACACAGTCTTATGTGAAGAAACTATAGCCATTCTCTCATTATCAGTACTGTTAAGAAATGGGCAATTCACCTTATCATTCTATTTCCTATACAAAAGATATGGGACATACACACCTAAACGGCCGGTGGCACCTATTCCACCAGCGCTTCTCCAGTGCTTCTCCAGGGCCTCACTGTTGGAGGAGCAGCTTTCTCTGGGAGCTTGCTGGAGCTCAGAGCTCAGGCTGCACCGCAGCCCCACAGCAGCAGGGTGCAGTAACATCTCTCCATGATCCTGGGCGCATTTATATCGGAGCAGCTCTGCACGTGAACTAGTGTCTGTTCTTGGGATGCTTCTCAGCTGTGGCAGAATGTAGTTTTGCATGAGTCTTTGGCATTGATTTAATTCATTGTCATAGACCTTCAGCATCTACTATATATAAAACATTTGGATTGCCTGGTGTCAACGGCTCAGGGACTGACTCTTTGCCTTGCACGCACTGGAATGCCATATGGGTGCCAGTTCACATCCTGGTTGCTCCACTTCCCATCCAGCTCCCTACTTGTGGCCTGGGAAAGCAGTTGAGAGCAGCCCAAAGCCTTGGGACCCTGCACCCACGTGGGAAACCTGGAGGAAGCTCCTAGCTCTTAGCTTCAGATTGGCTCAGTCCAGCTATTGTGGCCACTTGGGGATTGAACCAGCAGATGGAAGATCTTTCTCTCTGTCTCTCCTTCTGTCTGTAAATCTGCCTTTTCAATAAAAATGAATAGATCTTTTTAAAAATTTGGATAATGGGATATTGATTTAAAATGAGTAATATGGGCTCCAGGTTTAGTGGCAGGAGTGAGTTATGGTAAGTGCACAGTAACTAGCTAAGTGGATGGCATTGTGCTGCAGCATGCTAAGTCATCACTTGGGATGCCCACAGCCTGTAGCAAAGAGCCCAGAATACTGGAGTAATTTATAACCTTGAATTTGCTTACTTTAACCAAGCAAGGGACACATCTCTAAGATGCTTTATTGGACATTGGAGAAGATTAGAAACACATACTTTCAACAGTCCTGAAGTCAGAGTTGGCTTACTGAGCATAAAAGAATGATGGAGCCGTGATTGTGGTTGAAGGACTATGCTATTGTAATGATACGGGGAAAACAGTGGTGGGGAGGGAGCGGGAGGGTGGAGGAGGAATTCCTTATGCCTGTGGAAGTGTATCATGGAAAAATAAAACAATGCACAGACAATCTACTTAGGCAAGAATGGGGTTGAAACTGGGATGGTAGATAGAAACCGCGCAGAGCAAGAGAGGCTGTGTTCAGAGGTCAGCGCTCACAGAGAAAGGTGTTGAGTGAGAATACAGGGAGCCAAGATACCAGAAACTGATTCCACTGTGCCAGCAACTTCCTTCCAGAGTGGCCTTGAGCAAGCACTCCTCTGCCATGTTGTTCTCTCTCTGGTGGTCACTGTTTTATGTGATTCGTGAGTTAAAACTTGACTTCTAAATTGGTTGTTTTGTAGGTGTGTCCAAGCACATCGGCGAGGCTCTGAAAGCCCATTCCTCCAAGTCCTTGAGAAAGATCTGCACTGTTGGAATCCCTCCCTGGGGCGTCATTGAGAACCAGAAAGATCTCATTGGAAAAGACGTAAGTAGACAACCCTCTGACAGCCAGGAGACCAGCCTGTGTCCAGGTCTCCGACAGGCGCTGCGACTGGATTTGAGATGTAATGTACAACGGGGCTCCTGTCTTCCTACTGTTTTCCTCCATGTTTCTCAAAAATGAGTATTGCAGTGACTCAAGTGAAAAAGTTGAGACTCATCTGGAACCAAACTTTGTCTCACACCTCAGATTTGATCTGTTCATCAGCTGTCTTATCTTCTGTTTAAACACACGCCCACAGTATGACCTTTCCTCTTAAGTACTGTTACTGACCTGGTCTATGACACCATTATCTGGCATCTGAGTGATTGCACTTGCCTGTCTTATCATGGCTCCTATCCCTGATTGCAATGTGTTTCTAATATGGCATCCAGAATGATTCATCTACAATAAAAAAACAAATCATGCTATTCCTCTTAGCAGTTCTTCAATCACTCTTGGCACTGCTTGATACTTGTAAGGATTTACATGTGGTGAAATGAGGTGGATTCTTAATTCCTTCCTAGCCACTTCCCTTTTCTCTGTTTCATTCGTTGTTATATATTAATTCTTTCGTTATGCATGTTCGTTGAAAGACAATGCACGTATCTATTGCCAAGACTAAGTTTTCGATAAAAACATCAGATATTAGAGAAGGTATACTGAAGAAGGGTAACCTATTGGAACATTACATGTATCTGTGTTGATTTTTAAAAAGTTTTATTTGAAAGGTGGAGAGATAGAAAGAGAACTCCCATCTCCTGGTTCATTCCCTAAATGTTTACAATAGCTGGGACTGTAGGCCAGACTGAAGCCAGAAGCCCAGAATGCAGCTTGGGTCTCCCAGGTGGAAGGCAGAGACGCAGCGACCTGTGCAATCCTTGCTACTTCTCAGGGTTCGCATGAGCAGGAAGTTGTAGTGGGAGTGGGGTTGGGACTTCGCACCCGTGGACTCCACCATGGGATGCAGAGAGCTCAACTGCTAGGTTGGAAGTCCACCCTGATTTGTTTTAAACTCATGAATTTAAGCATAGCGTGTGTGTTTCCCCGGCCCGATGTAGTGCACTTTTTGCCCTGTCAGGAAAAGGTTGGCTGTTTTGAATGGGACAGAATGTTAGGAAACGACAATCACAAATCACAGGGGCCTTTTGGTTTCTTGTATCCGATAGAATTTGACTGTACGTTGAACTAATAAACCCTGCCGTTGGTGTTATCCATCTAGGTGGTTTCCTGTCTCTCACTTCTGTAGAAAGTTCTATTAATTTGTGATTGAAATATATATGAATCTTTAGGACTAGCTTGCTTGTTTCCCTAACAGTGATTCTCAAGGTAGAATGGGTAGACGGCCCAGTGAGTATGTATATTCATAAATACAACCCCTGGCCGTCAGGAAAGGCGGTGACAGTTCGTATTCTGTGACTAGGATGGTCCCACATTTCCTGGGACCTTTGGTAGGTCAGAGGTCAGCCAGGGTAATCTGGCATTGTCAAACTTTGTCATGCTGATAAGTATAAAATAAGACCTGATCTTATTTCTGGGATTACCAGTGAGATTCAACATGTCTTCAAATGAGTTTCACACATTTTTAAGCAGGGCTTTTATACTTAATCTTATATACATATACACATATCTTTTATACTTATCTTTGAAAGATTTTATATATTATAATTTAGCCTAGTAATATTTTCATTTGCTGTATTTTTTAAATTTCTCCCAGTTTTAAATTTTATGTTGTTCATAGTACATTGTCAATAAATACAAAATAGTTTTTAATCTATTAATCATTTTATTTTTGACTCCTGGACTCAGTGTCATGCTTTGGAATTAAGGTAACTTAAAATGTAGTGTTTTTTTTTAAAGATTTATTTTATTTTTATTGGAAAGTCAGATATACAGAGAGGAGGAGAGACAGAGAGGAAGATTTTCCATCTGCTGATTCATTCCCCAAGTGGTCACAGTGACCGGAGCTGAGCTGATCTGAAACCAGGATCCAGGAGCCTCTTCCGGGTCTCCGATGCGGTAAAGGGTCCCAAGGCTTTGGGCCGTCCTCAATTGCTTTCCCAGGCCACAAACAGGGAGCTGGACGGGAAGTGGAGCAGCTAGGATAGGAAGCAACACCCATATGGAATCCCGACATGCAAGGCAAGGACTTTAGCCTCTAGGCTACCGCATCGGGCCCTAAAATGTAGTGTTTCTAAAATTCATGCTCTAAATTTATGTCCATTTATTTTTAAGTCCATAGTACTTATACATTAAGCAAATAAACCTGAGAAAGGAGGCAGAGATTATTCAGAGTGGAAGAGCCTGAATTCGATCTGCTCTCTATACTGTGCGTTTGCTTCTAAAAGTACAGAACAGGCAGACAGTGCTGTGGTTGTGTGGGCTAAGCCACTGCTTGGAATGCCTGCATTCCATGTAGGAGTGCTTCCAGTTGAGCCCTAACTCTGCTTCAAATCCAACTCCACAGCAAAGTGACAGCTTAAGTACTTTTGTCCCTGTCACTTATTTGGGAAATTTGAGTGGTGGTCTAGCTTTGGATTCAGCCTGGTTCAGCCCTGCCTGTGTGAGCGTTTGGGGAGTGACTGAGCAGATGTAAGTTTTATTTCTTTCGTTTTCTGTGTCTCTCTCCTTCTGCCATTCTGCCTTACACATAAATAAAATAAATGCATGAACTTAAAAACAATAAGCCAATAAGAATGATGACTTCTTAAAGTAGAATCTATAGCTGTGCTAAGGGTCTGATGGCTTATGATGATGTTTGTATGGAATGAAATGCAGTGTTGCTGGTTAGTTGTTATTATTCGTTTCCTATTCTTCAATTCAATACCAAAGTATTCCCAAACAGATTATATAAAAGGAGGAAATTTGGTAATGGTGTGATCTATATATTGGTGAGACACTTTGTAGTATTTTTTGAAGGCCTTGAATAAGTATAGAAATGGAAAACAAGTATTTAGAACCATTGTTTGCATTGTAACCGTGCGGCATGATTGGTGTCATGTCATGTTGAACATGGTTTGGCTGTTGTTGAAGTCATGTTGCATCATGGGCTACATTCCAGCTGTGCAGGGGAGGACCATGGGGTGGGCCCTAAAAACGAGTCCTTCCCCACCAACAGTCTGAGGAATGCTGCTGTGAACAGGAGGTGGTCTTTTGCTCTTGAACTTGGATTGATGCACAGAGCAGGGTTTGGGCACAGCCGAAGCTGGAGAAGGGCTGGCGTGCCGACCCTCTCTTGTTCCTCCTCAGGTGGTGTGCCTCTATCAAACCCTGGGCAACCCTCTCAGCAAGCTCACCACCCTCAACAGCATGCACTCGCACTTCATTCTGGCTGATGACGGCACCGTGGGCAAGTACGGCAATGAGATGAAGCTCCGGAGGAATCTGGAGAAATACCTCTCCCTGCAGAAAATCCACAGCTGTGAGTCCCGCAGGTTTCGCTGGCATCTAATGTGGAGCAAGTTGCTGTGTTGTCTGTGCAAAGCCTGAGCCATGGAGGTCCCAGAGATGGAGCTTGCATGTGTGAACCCACAGCTGGAAGAAAGCAGGGCACGAGAGAGCAGTGGCAGTGGGAGCAAGGGAGGCGTATTGGGGGTCAGTATCATCAAGGGAGAGTCCGTGGGAAGATGGACTTCAGCAAGGCCTCCGAGAATCTGCAGGGTTGGCTCCATGGAGGGAGAGAAGTGGAGGGATGAACGTGTGAAGAGGGGAGTGGCTGCTGGAGGGAATGGGCTCTGAGCTTGGAAGCCCGAGCAGCTGGGGTACGAACCATATGGGATTCTGGTGTATGCAAGGCAAGGACTTTAGGCATTAGGCCTCTTGCACCAGGCCTGACTATATTCTTAAAGGAACTACGTGAGTGATACATCTAAATTTTCTTTGTGATAATAAGGAAGAACTTCTCAGGAGGTAGCAGTGAATGAGGGGGCGGAGAGGAGAGGGAGAACAGGAAAGCAGTTACGTAATTAAGCTCTTGGAAAAGTTGATGCAGTCACTTCTACACCTATAGCTGCAGGGCTGGGCTTGGACTTTGCTTTTGGAGCTGTGGAGGTCCTGAGCTAGAGTGGGGCAGGGAACAGAGCCAGCAGCTCAGCCACAGCTTGCAGTCAGCGCACTGCTTCTCCTTGCAGCCACAGCTCAGCCCATGCAAGAGGAGCCTCGCACATAGATGGTCTAGGGGATGCAGCTGCCTGAGTGTCCAGACTCTATCCGCTTCCCTACCCATCAAAGCTGTCTCTTGCTTTGTCCTGTTGGTCTCTGAGAAGGACCTACAAGGGACAGAAGCCCCAGCATCCTCCAGAAGAGGGCTTTTGGAAGTATTTGATGGTCTAGTCACTGTGAGACTTTGCATTTTGGCTTTACAGACTCCTGCTGAGAAGAGAGACGGAGATGGGATAGAGGAGGCCCTAAAAAAACTGGGACCTGGGACAAAGTCTTCTGTTCCATGGGAGTCAGGGTGTGGCTGAATAAATTGTAGTTTAAAGCAATATGTGAAGCTTGAATCAAATAGGAAAATCTATGGAATGAATAAAGTTCCAGCTCCACATTTCCCTGAACCTTTTTCTCCCTCCTTTACAAGCAATAGTTTCTTATATGTCCTTCCAGAGTTTTCTGGTCACTTCTAGAATATGCTATAAATACAGTTATATATGAAATTATAAATACATATAAAATATATACGCATATATGGTTTTGAAAATGTAAAAAGGATATACTTGTTTTTTTTTCACTTTGTATCTATTTGAAAAGAATGACCCAGTTATCATTTCTGTTTTTTTTTTCTTTTTGATGTGTATGTGTATGTGGGTCTTCCATACTTTAATAATAAAGTAATTTGATTAAGAAAAATTCAAACAGTGGTAACTGGTCTAAGCAGAAATGTAAACCTCTTTTAGAACTGCCCATCCCATTTCTAGAAACCATAACCAATAAAAGTTTATTGCATTGGCAGTGCTTGATGGCTGTTTTGCCCTGTTTACTTTTAGGTATATTTGTAATGTAAAGTTTCTTGGGCAGTAGTTTTACTTTTGTCAATTACTGAAGAAGCTCCTGGCTCCTGGCTTTGGATCAGCTCTGCTCTGGCTGTTGTGGACACTTGGGGAGTGAATCAGCAGGTGGAAGATCTTTCTAACAGCTCCATGGCTCAATCCTCACCTTGCAAGCTCTAGGATCCCATATGGGTTCTGGTTCCTGTGCCAGCTGCTCCACTTTCCATCTGTTTCCCTTTTTGTAGCCTGGGAGAGTAGCAGAGGATGGCCCATAGCCTTGGGACCCTGCATTCGGGTGGGACATCTACAGGAGGCTCCTGGCTCTAGATTGGCTCATCTCTGGCCATTGGGACCATTTGGGAAGTGAACCAGCAGGGAAGCTCATTCTCTCTGTTTCTCCTTCTCTCTGTAAATCTGATCTGCCTTTCCAATAAAAATAAGCAAAAAAAAAAAAAAATTTTTTTTAAAGTGGGGAGACAGGGGCTAGTTCAGACACTGAAGATTTAAGTTGATGGAAAAACTTGGGGATCCTTTGTAACAGTCTGGTATATATCGTTGGCCATCTGAAACAGGCTCCCGACAAGGCGTGCCTGTGGTGGGACTCGTGGTGGAAGGAGGTCCCAATGTCATCCTGGCCGTGTGGGAGACCGTCAAAGACCGCGACCCGGTGGTGGTGTGTGAAGGCACGGGCAGGGCGGCGGATATCCTGGCCTTCACCCACAAGCACCTGGACGAAGGGTGAGTCAGTGACCCTCGACTTTGGAATTGAGACTGACGGGGAGGTTGGGACGGGGCTTCGTGTTTGAGTGGCATTTCCAGGGAAGAGGCAGGCTCCTAAAACGGAACTTGCTGTGAAGCAAAAGGCCAGTTCTGGTTGTGTTTTTCCTGGCACCGCATCTCAGGCCCCAGTGGGAGCTGCCGGTATATCGGCGCAGCTGCCTCGTACCCCTCCTGGGGCAGGGCGACTCATGGTCGTTTCTTTCTCTTTCAGGGTCCTGCGTCCTCAAGACAAAGAGGAGATTATCTGTATGATCCAGAGCACTTTCAACTTCAGCCTTAAGCAGTCCAGGCACCTGTTCCAAATCCTCATGCGGTGTATGAAGCACAGGGACATTGTGAGTGCGAGCTGATGGCTCAGACCGACCACCAACTGCTCACGTGCAAAAAGTGCACTAATCAAGTTCACACCCTATAGAAAAGTGAATGTTTCCTATCTTGAACTTGAGTGTGTATAAGGACAGAATTTTACCCTCAGTCAAGGAAACTTCGCTTCTTACTGTCCTTCTGTCCACCACCAACCTTCATTCTTCAAATTTCTTAGATAGTACAGTAGCATTACAGAAAAAGTGAGCATTTTTTTAAAGTGAAAATTTAGACGTAAATACTTGCAAGAGGAAAGAAAACATCTCCTTCCTTAGTGAACTTAAAGTCATTGGTTTTGGATGACTGTACCACAACACCCTGAGGACATTGTGGCTGCATCAGACAGGGGGACATGCAAGAAGGAATTCTTCGACAGAAAAAAACATACAAAGAAACTGCAGAATTTGACCATAAGAAGAAAAATTGTTAGTGCTTTAGAGTACTACAATTAGCTTTTAGAATTTAAAAAAATATTTATTTATTTATGTATTTATTTAACATGAAAGGGGGAGACAGAGAGAGAGAGAGATCGTCCATCTGCTGGTTCACACCCCAGATGGCTCAATGGTTGGGGCTGTAGGTAAAATAGCAGGGATCTGGAATATGACCAACATTTATATCAGTAATATGGGTGATAAGAAATTGAAGATTATAATAAATATACAGAAATATCATGATACAAAGGGATCGTTCCAGATTTAAAGGATGGCGCAAATGTTAGAAAAATATTAGTAATAAATGCTTGAACTAAAAAAAAAAAAAAAGAAATCAAACAGTTCAGGCTAAAGAAAGAATTGACAAAAATGTATGAAAAATCTTGGCCCCATATGGGTGCCGGTTCTAATCCAGCTCCCTGCTTGTGGTCTGGGAAAGCAGTCGAGAACAGCCTAAGATCTTGGGACCCTGCACCTGCATGCAGAACCAGAAGAGCTCCTGGCTCCTGGCTTTGGATCGGCACAGTTCCGGCCGTTGCTGTCACTTGGGGAGTGAATCATCGGATGGAAGATTTAAAAAATGAATAATAAGCAAGTTTACCATTAACACTTTTGTTTTAAATGTTATTTCACTCAGGATAACCCCGTTGGAGTTCATTATGGCAGCACCAGTTCCTTTCCATTTTAGAGGTGATGTGTTGGAAGTCCTGGGAATCGTGAAAGATTTCCACAGGATCATGCAGTTAGGACATGAGGAAACCGAACTCTTCTTCCAGTTGGTCTACCTTAGCTCATGTTTGCAATAATAATCAGGAAGTTAAGACCATAAGACAAGGATTGCCCTCGCCTTATCTCCAAGTCCACTTATCTCCAAGTAGAGTTGTTAATGCGCTGTGCAGCGGCTGAGAGGGACCAGGAGCAGTCAGCTGTCTGCACACGGCAGGAGCGGATCTCTCAACCCCTTACAACGGAGCACTGGGTTAATTCACGCGTTAAACCTAAAGATTTTTCTTTTTTTTTTTTTTAAAGATTTATTTATTTTTATTGGAAGGGCAGATCAGATTTTTAGAGAGAAGGAGAGACCAATAGAAGCATCTCCCGTCTGTTGGTTCACTCCCCAAATGGCTGCAATGGCTGGAGCTGCATCGATCTGAAGTCAGGAACCTGGAGCTTCTTTGGGGTTTCTCACATGGGTTCAGGGTCTCAAAGCTTTGGACCATCCTCCATTGCTTTTCCAGGCCATCAGCAAGGAGATGGATGGGAAGTGGAGCAGCCGAGATACAAACTGGTGTCCACATGGGATCCCGGTGCTTGTAAGATGAGCATTTAGCCACTGGGCCATTGTGTCATAGACCCTGGGCAGAGAACTGGATCATAAGTCGAGCATCTGGGACTTGAACTGGTGCCTATTTGAGATGCTGTTGCCACAGGCAGAGGGTTCACTTGCTACACCCAGGGCTCTGGTCCTTAGAGCCTGGTCTTAGGATATTTACCGAAGACTGGTTAGCTAGTGGCAAACCTGGGAGTAGAATTTATTTTATTTGACTTGGCTCCATTGTATGAAAGCTATTTTCATTCGCAAGGCTGAAATACATTCATTAATAACAGTGATTCTTGCAAGCATGAATAATAAAGTGCTTTAAAGGAAAGGAAGAAAGTGATTCACATGGCAGGATGTGGTGGCGTAGATGGGGTTTAAAAGTCTCTTTTCCAAAGGCCGTTGTCTCCTACCTAGAAGAGCATTCTAAGTACAGGCACAAATCTGACTTACAAAGTAAGAAAGTTTTATTTTGAATTACATGTGAGCCATGTTCAGGAATAGAGTGGGCTGCGAAGGGAAAACCTGCTCCCTCTGAGAGAGTGGACAGGCAGAGCGGAGCCCCCGTGCTTGCCTCTGTCCCCAGGATGAGGCAGGCACATCCTGGGGAAGCTGTCATGTGACTGACAGCAGGGCAGGCAGGATTATGGGTGGTGGGAAGGTGGGGCTGCCAGCCCCCAGCCTTAGTCCCAAGTCCTTGACCCTGTGAGGTGGCCGTGGCGTTTGCTCATTTTTACTGAAATCATCCCATTTGTCCTCCAGGATGTGGTTCTCGTTTAAAAGCAAAAGTTTCTAAGGCCACGCGAGCCCTCAGGTTGCCCTTTGGACTCTCTCCCGAAAGGGGGACAGTTTTATTTATGTTAGGAATGGATGTTGAGTTCCTTTTCATTATCATGTGAATAGTACATTAATGAGCTTTCGTGGATGTCTACCCGTGTATACATATAATTAAAAGTGTTTTTTTTTAATTGTTTGAATTTTCTCTAGTTAACAACAAAAGATTAAAACTCTCTTGTTTTGACATTTGCGAAATGCTTTCATTGGTTTATGAATTCTGTCCGAGCAGTGTTTGCTAGTTCCCCATCTATGCTTTCTGTTTTCTCTCTCTTCCAGATTACCATATTTGATGCTGACTCGGAGGAGCAGCAGGACCTGGATTTAGTCATCTTAACAGCTCTGCTGAAGCGTGAGTATCTGAATGAGTTTAGGATTACTCCTCAGTTCCTCAGCAGGTTCAGATGCATGAACTTCGCTTATACTTCACATGTGCTTCGAGTAGAATATGTGATTGTGCCTTTTTTTTTTTTTTTTACCCTAGGAACCAATCTATCACCCTCAGAACAATTAAATCTGGCAATAACCTGGGACAGAACTGACATTGCCAAGACACATATCCTAATTTATGGACAACATTGGAAGGTATCATGAAAGGGAACTTATTTGGGATAAATATTTTGTGTTTTGGTTTGTTAGGGAGAAAATTGGAGTAGAGTGGGATTGGAATGAGACGGCTGTGAGTTTAACTTCCCTGTCACTGGGCTTCTATCTCATATACTTTGCCTTCCTTTAAACAGCTTCTCTCTGGCTCTACAACCTAATTGAAACTGAAAAATAAAGTTGAGAGGAAGATGGGATGAAAGAATGTTTAATTTGTTTTTTGAGTGTGTTGATATTGTATTGTTACTTAAGACTTTACAATTAATTAATTTATGTTTCATATTGTTCATATAGTTGAGAGGGATCACACCCATATGGGCTTCTGAAAAGGCAGGGGGGGTTGAGGTATGGAGAAAAGTGGGTGGGAGAGATGTTTCAAATTGACCCTTCTTTGCATTAAAAAACAGTAAAGTGCTGATTATAGTAGAAATGAACAAAAGTAGAGAAGAAATCACCTATAGTGTTTATGATAATAACTACCAATGTTACATTTTTTTAAAAGATTTATTTTTTTATTAGAAAGTCAGATATACAGAGAGGAGGAGAGACAGAGAGGAAGATTTTCCACCCACTGATTCACTCCCCAAGTGAGCACAACGGCCGGAGCTGAGCTATCTGAAGCCAGGAGCCTCTTCCGGATCTCCCACAGGGATACAGGGTCCCAAGGCTTTGGGCCGTCCTTGACTGCTTTCCCAGGCCACAAGCAGGGAGAGAGGCAGAAAGAGGGCGAGGGAGCAAGTGTGGGAGAGAGATGTTCCCCACGGGGGGTGAATGTTGAGCGAGGACTGAGAGTGGAATAAATCTAGGTTTCCTCCCGCCCCCTCTGGGCTGGCAGGAAGCCAAGCCTCCTACTAATGCTAAAGCCTAGGGTCTACAGGAAGCTGGGTCAGGAGCCAAAACTGGCAACCCAACTAGGTTACTCTGCATTAACCACTAAGCCACACCCATCCCACTTTTGACATGTCTTGGCTGTTCTGCATATCTCTACATAATGACATATTGCTCTTTTATGATCCATCAATTGTATGTTTCTTCTCAAAAGGTGTTCATTAATTTGAGAGGCAGAGAAAGATCAAGCACAACAGCCAGGGATAGGAGAAGGACGAAGGAGGAGAGTGTGAGGAGGAAGAAAAAGAAGGATGAGGAGTGGGTAGAGAAAGAGAGTGGGAGTGGGAGTAAGTGGAACAGCCGACTCTCGGCCAGGGCTTAGCTCGGCAGCGCTGAACTCAATGCAGTGTCCCTCCAGCCGTTGTAGCTGCTTGGGGAATGAATCATCAGATGGAAGATCTTCCTCTCTGTCTCTCCTCCTCTCTGTATATCTGCCTGTCTAATAAAAATACAAGAAATCTTTAAAAAAAATGAAACAAAGTTGAAACAAAATGAGGAAACTTTAAAGTTTTGTTGGATTTGCATTTGCTTGCACTGTCATTTGGGAAGCTTGGAGGTGGTTACAAGTATGCTTTTCCCAGCTGGGAAAGTTGCTTGACTTACTCTAAATGTCTACCGCTAGATGCTACATGTTTCTCACTAAAATTATGTTTTGCCCCGTTGTTATACCTGTGTAATTTTGAGTTAAAGCGTGTATGTAATTCTTTAGTTTTTTTCTCCTGGGTCAATTGCCCTTATGCCCTCTGTGTTTCTGGCTTCTGAAGTGTGGCGTGCTGGAACAGGCCATGTTAGATGCGTTAGTGATGGATCGGGTTGACTTTGTGAAGCTCCTAATAGAGTATGGAGTGAACCTCCACCGATTTCTCACCATCCCCCGGCTGGAAGAGCTCTACAACACAGTGAGTACATGGAACAGTCCGTCAGTCATTTCCCTTAAGATTTACTTTCTTACAAATGTTAATTAATTAACAGATTTTCAGAGAGGAGAGGCAGTAAGATCTTCTATCTGTTGGTTCACTCACCAAGTGGCCACAACGGCCAGAGCTCAGCCAGTCTGAAGCCAGGAGCCTCTTCCGGGTCTCTCACGCAGGTGCAGGGTCCCAAGGCCTTGGGCCAGCCTCAGCTGCTTTCCCAGGCCACAAGAAGGGAGCTAGATGGGAAGTGGGGCAGCAGGGTCACTGACTGGTGCCCATATGGGATCCCGACATGTGCAAGGTGAAGATTCAATCCCTGGAGGAGGAACTTAGCAGATTTTCTTATCTTAGTAAGACACAGAGACCAAGATGCGATTAATTAAAAGTTGCTTTTCTTGAATTGTTGGAAGGATCTCAAACCAACGCCACTGTTAAAATGCTAGTCCAGCAACTTCCTATGCAAACCCCTTGTTGAAACTTCACTGGTTTTCTCATTGTGAAAACGTAGATTGTGCAGGCCATACATCCTTACTGAAATAGCCTCCATTATCCTTTGAGTTGTGTCTGTAAAAAGCAACTAAAGTTGCATCTTTCTAATTGCTCTGTTTAGTGCAGGTGGTCTGCTACCAGAGTACGAGTTGTTTACAACTCTTCTGAGGGCACTTGTTATCACACTGCCGAGTATTCTTTAGGATGAATACATGCTCTTTTCAGTTTTTATAAACACTGAATTGGTTTCAATACATTGTTAATGATGAGTTGTGTTTGTGTGATGTTTTTACATGGTAAAGGATAGCTAACAATTCTTCAGATTTATTGCTACCTCTTGCCACATCTTGACCCTATCTGCTCACATACTTTACTTTGATAAAGTGTATCATCTGATTATGGCTTCTTGGGAAAACATTTTCCCTAGAATGAACAGGTGTACGTTTCACGATTCAAGATTTTGGATAAAGTTTTCAGCATTTTGAGATACTTTTGCATTCTGAAATAAGGTTTCCTTCTAGCATTAGTCAGAATAATTCTTTATTTTTGTTCTTTATCACAGAAACAGGGGCCTACCAACATGCTTCTGCATCACCTTGTCCAGGATGTAAAACAGGTAACCTAATTCTAAGGGTGTGAAAATACCTTTGTCCATTGCCCTGGCTTTGTACCAGAGGAAGCACTAGATTTTGTCCCATACCATGTGGTTTTGAAATTTGCGTTGAATAAACTAATATCCTCTTTACCTGTAATTCCAAACAATTTCCTAGTCAAATCAGATACTTGCCTTGTTGCCCCTCTTCCATTCCTTTTATGTCTTTGAAATATCTGATCCAGTAAGTAAACGACATTAGCTGGTAACAAATATGAATCAGAGGCGTAAGCCAAATAGAACTTCAGTTTCCCATGATGCAACACGAGCCAATGGCAATAACTGTAGGATCAGCCAAATCCACAGACCTTTGTTGGCGTACTGATAGGGTAATCTCATTGTGTTGTTACAGTTTTAGATATGTGCGGTAGCCCAGGTACTCACTCTTGGGTGAGTTTAAGCCTAGCTCTAGGGATTTAGGTTGCATCCCAAGACAGGGCAGGGGATTTTTTTCTCTGTAGCAAAGGTTAAAATCCACTCAAGATGCGGCTTGAAAGTTTTCTCCTGTTTCTCACGGTCATTATCTTACGGAAGAGAACGTGTGCTTATCATGCTTATCGGATCAGGTTGAATTGGCGAGAGGGCCAGAGAAAGGAAAACATTTAGCTTGCAAATGAGCAGTAAGTGAAAGTCTGCGCTGATGTAAATTAGCTTACAGTGATCTATGCCGTGTTGGGTTGTTTCCCTAAATGATTTCCTTGAACTCCATCCTAGTAAACTGAAGAAAAGTGATGAAATAGGCTCACTTCGCTTTTTACTGGCAGCGATTGAGACCATTATTTTTTTGCTGTTTCTTGGAAAAGGTGCATTATGAATTTGCAAAGGAAAAATTAAACTGTTTATGCTTGCACACCTGTGGGTTTATTTCTCGTTCGGTGACTTGTGAACACTATCTGCCATGTGTTCATTTCAGACATCTTATTCAGCACTCTGGGCGCCTTTTGACATTTACCGTGAATGGCAGTTCTAAAATAAAACGTTAGGAAAAGGTAGCAGGGTGAGATTTGGAGGGTTAAAATAATTTTCATTTGGACTAAGACCTGTGTACTTGGAAATCCGCCACTCAACCCTCCTGCCAGCCATAATATTTGTCTTGGAACTGTGTCACATTTTGCTATCTCATTTGGCTCTGCCGTTCTGTTTTATGTTTGTCCGACTTCCTTTTGTGTTCTTGTCTTATAGACAGTAGTCACTTCACTGCAAAGTGTTATGCCTATTTCATCAAAGAGGCCGAAAAGTTAACCCAAGGTTAATTTCCAATCACATGTATTTGGTGCTTCTTACGATTTCTCTTCTGTTGCAATAGTTAGATTATTTTTAGCTAAAGACAATCTTGTGTTAGGTTTGAAGGTATTTTATGCAGTTGCGCTTATCCGCGTGATTCGGGAGGGTAAGAAAGACCGCGAGGGAGAGAGCACACACACTTGCTGTTTACAAAACTAGAAGACACTAAAGCTGAGATGTTTCTTCCTTCTGAACAGGCAGATAGCATTAATAACTGATCGAATTGCTTGATCGGTTGGTAAAGATGATTACAAAGAATGAATCTGCCTCTGCAGTAGTTCAAGTTCTGATGGAGTGGCAAAAAAGATAGAAGAAGAGGATAAAGTGATCATTATTGCATGTTTGTGTTGCAGCATACCCTCCTCTCAGGCTACAAAATCACGCTGATCGATGTTGGATTGGTGATAGAGCACCTCATTGGGGGAGGATATCGCAGCAGCTACACTAGGAAATCCTTCCGAGTCCTCTACAACACTCTCTACAGGACGTATAAGGTAGTGCACTGGGAAAGGACCGGAGTAAATTAAGGGTGATTAGCAGAGTCGGATGAATGGGTTGGAAAGTGCGCATGGTGACAGCTTCTGCACTGGACGTTCTGTTCCAAACCTTGGTTGCTTGCTCTATGCAGTGCTTTGTGCTTGGTTCTGGCCTGGAATGACCCTAAGGATCATGGGTTCTAAAGCTGTAGGAGAAAGAGATTTGTGAACAAGTAGCAATAATACAAACCAAGAAATTATACGTGCTGTGTCAACATAAATTATGGGATGAAACCGAGTAGAGGTAGAGATGACCGGTTCTCTTCCATCCTTTTCTTCTGAAAAAATTCAGACACTAAAAGCTAAAAGGATTCGATTTCTAAACTTGAGTAGAAATTCCAATATTAAACTTCAACCTTTATTTATAAAGAATCATGTGACAGGAAACCTCCGCTGGGTTTCAGGAGATGAAAAACACTGCAAAACAAAAATATGCAAATCTCAGACAGAAAATATTCATCATCATGATTTCAGAGGCATCAGGATACACTTAAGGTATCAATTGCTTCATTTAAACAAATTCAATGTAACTGCCTGGTTTCTGTTGCCTGGCTGTGTTCTTGGCTTAGCACCCATCTCAGATGCTGGTGCTTGCAAGGGAACAATCACCAGCGGAGCCATTGTGCCAGCTCCCTTGTAATACCCATTCTAGGAAGTGTCCCATTTTTTCTGATTTGTCAGCAAGGCAATACCACATTTGTTGTGTTTCATAGTAAACTATTATTATTATTGAGTATATGGTTTAGAATCAGGGAGATATGGATTACATTTTGCACATTGGCAGCTGTGTAATATCAGCAATAAACTTAATCTTTCTGTAGTCAATTTCATAATCTAAAATGTGGATAGTAGCATCTTTCATGAATAGAAGGATTACCCATGATGCCATAAAATCTATAGTTTCAGGGCTGTTGAGATGCCTCAATTTTGGATAATCTTCTTCCTGCAAGTGCCAGCATCCCTTATGGGCACCGGTTCATGTCGTGGCTGCTCCGTTTCCTATCCAGGTCCCTGTTTATGACCCTAAGAAAGGATGGCCTTAAGCCTTAAGACCCTGTACCTATGGGAGACCTGGAAGAAGCTCCTGGTTCCTAGCTTCAGATCATTTCAGCTTTGGCAATTGCAGTCATTTGCAGAGTGAACCAGCAGATGGAGGATTTTTCTCTGTGTCTCTCCTTTCTGTAAATCTCCCTTTCCAATAATAACAAATATATATTTTAAAAAATCTATATTCTTGGTCCAATTTGCGTATGGAGTAAGTTTTCTATAGAATTATTGCTATTATAATGCTATTAATTCTGCATTACAATAATGATAATAATTCAGATGGCACCTTAAAAACTGTCTGGACTTCCTTGTTTTTATTAGAAAAAAAAGCAACACCTAAATAATGCACTTGAACATATATGACCTCCATCTGATGTTTTGATGCCAGATTCTTGAAAATGCTTCATTTTGTCTTTATTTCTCAGTGATGGAAACTTCATTCTGACGGCCATGATTTTTGTGGCCAGCTGGTCTAGCTGCTGAAATTCCAGTGGCGATTTTATTGGAGAAATTCCATAACTTTCTTATTTAACCTTTCCTTTGGAGCTGCTTGTGAATGGAAACTTTTTTCTTATCAGAACCAAAAATCTTTATTGCTTATTTTGAACTTGTTCCAAGTATAGAACATCCATTGATGCTAATGGAATTTCCACACAGAGGAGGCATGCAAAAGTGTGACAGGGAACACGCGAGTGCCTGCTCTCAGCTGTTAGGAAACGGCAGCGAACCCCGCAAGATCACGGAGACTCTGGCTGGGGGAGTAACTGCTCTCCCGAGAGACTGAATGTTGAGCACGGGAGAACCTGCGGTTGGATTGTAGGGCACAAAGTTATGTTAGATTTTCATTACTGTATAGAAATAAAGTGTCGTTACTACTATAATCTTCTTTCTTCTGTTTTTTCTTTCTTTTTTTAACTTACAAAACAAAATAACTGCATATGCCAGAGATCCACCAGCTTTCCTCAAAGCCTTTCCCACTACTCCCTTCACTGGAGACGCCACTCGGAAAACAGAAATGAGTCTGCAGAGAACACGCTGCACTCGCAGTTCATTAGAACCGCCCAACCTTACAAGGTCAAGTACCACCTCCCGTGTGCACGCGTGTGTGCGTGTGTGTGCGTGTATGTATGTGTGTGTGCACGTGTGTGCATGTGTGTGTTGAATTGAAACTGAAATTGTTTCTGTAAAGAAACATTTTGTTCGTGTAAAATCATGGAAAGGGAAGGAATAGCAGGAAAGGGAAGGAATAGCAGGACCGTTTACAGGTGCTGTTGACACATGGTCAAGACAGACAAGATCCGGAATGGTCCAGGACCGAGCAGGAGCACTCACATGGCTGCCTGGGCTTGCACTTCAACCTCTCTCATCCTTCCTTCTCTGCGCCGAGCTGATTGGGTGGACACTGCGGGAGGAGGCTGAACTCAATTCCACATCCTCATCTCCCTTCCCCCAAGGCTGCCTAAGTGCATACGCTGCCTCCCTCTCTTTCAGTTCCTCTGACTACCATTTTTTCTTTTGAGATTTTCTTTAGGTGAATCCTAGTTTAATGGCACCACGAGAGGATAACGACAAGCCTCTGTTCTCCCTCATTGCACCTTCCTCTGCTCAGAAGTGCTTTTTCTCAGGAGTTCTCATTTCCTGTGTGGGTTGAAAGACATTTGCTTTCTGTCACGAACCTCTCCTGGGATGAGTTTTATAAAATCACCTTGGCCGTCATTGAAAAACAGGGAGACCAAATTGCAATGTTTCGTTATGGCATCCTACATTTAAAACAAAAGCATAATTATTGTATCATTTTCCAGATGTTACGTCTGAAAAAGTATCCTTGGATGAATGTAGGGAGACAGGGAGTCGGGAAGGTTAAATGATTAATGAGTGATGATGGTACCTTCCTTTCTCAAAGGGAGCACCATCCTACAGTGTCCACACACCAGACATCCAGTATGTAGGTAGTACCTAGCCGGCACACACACCAAATGGCTAACGTGACGAGCATTTTGATGGAGACATCCTAAGTGATGCAGAACTCCACGGGGCGTCCCATGGCTCTGGTGACAAGCTGTGAAGTGTGGACTTGCCAGATAGACAATATTCTTTCATCATGGCCTATTATCAATCACTGCAGAAGTATAGACTAAGGGACAGGAAACACGGCACCCACCTGTTGGGATGTGAACTTGCCACACCAGTCACATTCTTCCTTGGGGAAGATAACGAATCTATGACTAAGATGAGTTAGAGGGATTCTTAAAAATAATCCCCATGTATCTAATACATTATTTTAAAACACTTCCTTGGGAAATAGGAAGTTCTTATATAGTGGCAGTCTATCCCAAAGCAGCACTGTTTTAACTTTTGCTGAATGAACTTTATGTATCTCTAGTTAAGGACTCTAAATATGTTGAATAAAAGAAACATATTACCATTATAACCGAAACTTTCCTGTTGGTTTATAAAGAACCATGAGAATCTACTTTTCTCTTGCTTTGTATTGTTTTAACAGTGATTTAAATGTCTGCTTGGTTGTATTAGGTAAAACTTGATGGATCTGAGTTTTGGAAGCTTATTCTTATTTTATTTTCTAATAGGAGAAGTCTATAGTCCTTTATAAATCAAGGAAAAAGTCGAAAGAAGGACAATATCTGGATGACCCTGAGTCTACCAACTTCACTTACCCTTACAACGACCTGCTGGTGTGGGCTGTGCTCATGAAAAGGCAGAAGATGGCCATGTTCTTCTGGCAGCATGGCGAAGAGGCCACGGTGAAGGCAGTGATTGCTTGTATACTCTACCGAGCGATGGCCCACGAAGCTAAGGAGAGCAACATGGTGGACGACACTTCCGAAGAGCTGAAAAGTTACTCAAAGTAGGAGTTCTTGGTTTACTTCATAATAAGCATCAACAGTTCTCAGAATAGTTCGATATCTCCCTCACCTTAGAACGTACAAGACAGGGCCCATGAGATGGCTCAACTAGCTTATCTCCACTTGCAAGCACCAGCATCCCATATGGGAGATGGTTTATGTCCCAGCTGCTCCAATTCCTATCCAGCTCCCTGCCTGGGAAGGCAGTGAAGATTGGCCCAAAACCTGGGGACTCTGCTCCCATGGGAGACCTGGAAGATGCTCCCATCTCCTGGCTTCAGATCAGCTCATCTCTGGCCATTGCAGCCATTTGGGGAGTGAACCAGTAGATGGAAAAATCTTTCTCTCTATCTCTCCTTCTGTCTGTAAGTCTGCCTTTCCAATAAAAATAATAAACAAATCTTAAAAAAAAAAAACAACTGGTAAGACAAGAAGGCTTATTGTCATGTGGACATGTCAGAGCTTTCAGGAGAGAACCAATAGGTTAGGTATAGAAATGTGTGAGATGGGATTTATTAGGGAATTGGCTCACATGATTATGGCAGCCTGGAAGTCCCAGGAGAGGCCATCTGTAGGCTGGAAAGCTTAGAGTGCTGCAGGTGGCTCAGATCTGAAGGTCGCAGAGCCAGGCAAGCTGAAGGAATACAAGCTTGGTGGTGTGAAGGGAGCGTGGACTCGGTGGTGTGAAGGGGCATGGGCTCGGTGGTGTGAGGGAGTGTGGGCTTGGTGGTGATGGCTTTGGGGTTGCTGCTGCATGAGTCCTGAAATCCAGACTGTGAGTTTGTGTTTCTGATGTCTAAGACAGCAGGCAGGTGTGTCCTAGATTCATTTGTTTGTTGTGTTTGTTCTCTCTAGTTCCCGAGTGGAGATGGTGCCTCCCACAGGGAGGCTGAATCTTCTCCATTTAGCCCCTTGAAACGCGCATGCCCAGCTCCTCTAGAAATAGCCTCATTGACACCCAAAATAGTGCTGTGCCAGATTCTCGGGGATTGCCTCATTTATTTCACTTGGGACTTACACATCATAGACTGTCCTATTAAGGATTTTTGAAGGGGGGTGAGGGGAAGGAAAGAGAAACAAAGAAAGAGAGGGAGAGTCTTTTGTGTTTTGGTTCACTGCGCAGATCGCCACATAGCTAGGTCTGGCTGAAGCTGGCCGTTACTGCTGGTCTCCCTGGCAGCATTAGCAGGGAGTTGGACTGGAAGCGGAGCAGCAGGAACCCAAGCTGGAGCTCATGCGGGATTCCAGTGCCCCAGGCTTGGCTTAACCTCTGAGTCACAAATGTGGCTGCATAATTCAGTCTTGCACAGTGTTTTCTGTACAAAAATTCTTTCTGAGGACTAACCAAGCAGTCCCAAACCAAACAAGATATAACTTGTCAGTAAGGTCCAGTGGACAGCTCAAGTGCACGCTAGATTCTAAAAGAGTGGCCCTGTCCCAGTTCTGTTCCTGCAGCCATGGGTCAGCATTCCCTGTCCTAGCAACAATCTCTTTAAAATCATCTACACACACACACACACACACACACACACACACACACGAGAAGCGAGTGCCTTTTGTTTTTTTTAATGTTTCCCTGGCTCAGCGGCACGGTGTCGTTGCAGGCAGTTTAGCCAGCTGGCCCTGGATATCCTGGAGAAGGCATTCAAGCAGAATGAACGAATGGCCATGAAGCTCTTGACCTGTGAACTCAAGAACTGGAGCAATTCTACCTGCTTGAAACTGGCTGTGTCTGGAGGACTGCGACCTTTTGTGTCACATTCCTGTACCCAAATGTTGCTGACAGACTTGTGGGTGGGGCGCCTGAAAATGAGGAAAAACTCCTGGTTAAAGGTGATTGACTTGTCCTGCTGAACTAGGGATGAGTTTAACACGTGATAAATGTTTAAGCCCCTAATTTTGTTATTGAAATAAAATTACAAAATGTGCACCTTGTGCGAGTCTGCGCCTTCCTGCTGACCCTGCCTTGCTTTCTTTCTCAGATCATCATCAGCATCATTTTGCCGCCCACCATTTTGACGTTGGAATTTAAGAGCAAAGCCGAGATGTCCCACGTCCCGCAGTCCCAGGACTTCCAGTTCACGTGGTATAATGGTGACCAGACCCTCAGCACTGCCAAAGAAAATGCTTGCACGGTTAGTGCAATGTTATGGCAAATTAACTTTCTGTGGCTTTGACTGGACACACATACACACGCACACACGAGATTTATTTCCAGAGGAGTCTACTCAGTGTTTCTGTTGGCAACATCACAATCTGATGACACACGGGCCTCTGGCTCTCTGGTCAAGCATTTATGTCCCTTCTGCCTTACAGCAGTCACAGTAGATAATGCTCATTTTCTATCTGTTGTGTATAACTCAGCAAAGCGCTCAATAGTTAAAGAATCCTTGCCTAGCATCTTAGCTGATGTGTTTTTGTGTTGATAGTTGTTCTAATATTTAAAAATATTTGCTCAATGAAACCAATTAAATAGAAATGGTTTTCGTCACTGGCATCTGCTGTGATTGGTTGAGCATGATTCGTTAATGCATGTTGAAGATGGATCGTTAAATAGTTGGACCCTCACTCTTCTTGGGATTTCCTCTCGTCTCCTTGCCTTTTCAATTTCTTCCCTTCCTCATGGCTTCTCTTTCTTCCTCCTTTTCTAAGCCTGACAGTTCCATCTGCTGTTCTTGGGGTCCTCGAGGGCAAGTACACTGTGGCCTCTGTAGGTGTGAGAAGCTATTGTTGGCCAGTCATGTTAGGACTCCTTGTATGTATAGATTTCAGAAAATTTTTGTACAAAATTTAACCTAACATTTAATTACATTGTCCATGAACTTTTACAAGTACACTTGAATACATAGTTTTTTTTTATTTTTCCCCCCCATCAATCTCCAAGGCTAAGATTTTAGATTTGGAAGAAGGATTCCAAATTTGTTTCTAAGAGTCCATTTTATTTTATTTTTTACATGTCTAACTTGTCAATATTTTATTTAAACTGCTGTAAAGAAATGATTGCTTCTTGTTTATTTCACAGAATGATTATGATTTGGAAAGAGGCCCTGTTGAGAAGCCTGATGAAAATCAGCACGTGGACGGGAAGCGTCAGGGCAAGCGCCCCCCATGGGTCAGGAAGGTGTATGACTTCTACAGCGCGCCCATTGTCAAGTTCTGGGCTTACACGGTCTGTGCCTCTCAACAAAAGATACGCATTATGATTACCGGTTTACGTTAGCAATGCTATGTTGATTTGCCAATTTGATTCACAAATGTAGAAGCGTAGCACAAAGCAGTAAGAAAGTAACAAAGCAAGTAGCCAAGAGAACCGTAGGCAGGCGTGGAAATGGCATTCTTCCTCGCTGAGAAGTCTTCCCATAGTATGCTTGGAGCTGAAACAGCCGAGACCGAGCTTTGGAGGACGCGAGGTCTAATAAACTCAGAGCAGTGCTTGCAGAGCTGAGCGATGAGGTGGGAGGAGGACTGGTCAAGAAAACCAGCGAGCGGATCCATTTCTTCTTCATAGGAGTAATGTGTTACATAGACAAAAAAGAGAAAGGGTTTGCTTTTTGGTTTCCAATAACATATACATATATGGAAAATAATACAGATTTTGGAAGTCCAGTTGTGGTATGAACAAATACTAAAGCTATTATAGATGAAAGGATGCAGAGAAAGCATCTATTGTATCAAGTACCTTTCACAGTTAGCTAGTAGCATTTGTTTTTCTAATGCTTTGCTATACTTAAATTGCCTAAGAGTAGCAGTCTCTTTAGAACATTTGAAGTACGACTGTAAAAGTTTATTATCTCAGTGTTTTACATCAAGATATTTACTTGGCAAAACAAACACTTATTTCATATGCTTATTGATCAGTTCATATCTGTGGATGGATTCCCTCTGTTTTCAAAAATCAAATCCTCTTTCAAACGATGAGGATTTATTTACCACTTTTGTGAATATGCGACAAAATATTCAAGAAACCTGGCTAGGAGCTCTGAGAGAATTTTAATCATACACATACCATTGGGGGAAGAAAAGGTATTGAAATTTTAGCTTAGGAGCATCTAGAAATAAGAGCAAAATCAAGCAATAGGACAAATTCAACCAAAATATGTGGCATCTACAGCGAGCTCCGGCATCTCCATGCTGCCGCCACACTGCCACACTGGTTGTGCTTTGTCGGAGCGGTATCTTGTTAGAGATGTGATACAAGAGAAAAACGTAAACATCTTTGAATCACTTGTTGAAGAATTGAATGCTAATGAAAAGCCATCTCATCAGTATCTAATTTTTGAATATGGCTTAGTTTTACCTGGATGTGAGTATGAGTGGTTTTTAAGAGGTTTGTAGAAAATAGCATTAGAAGATGTGTTTGTTTTGCTGCAAGATTCTTTCTTGAAAAGCATCTGTAAGAGGAATCTTCAAAAAGTTAATGAAAACACGTATTAAGGAAAACTGCAAGGATCTGAAGACATTTTTTTTTTTGCAACGAAATAAGCTTATCTCTTCATTCCATTTTTCATGTACTGGCTTCCCAGGCACCCACAAGTGGAGTGAAGGTGCTTGGTTTTTTTCCCCTCCGCTTTGCTGTTACCCTGGCAGTGAGCATGTTGGAATTTGTGGGGTTCTGCCCAGGAGCCAGCAGGATCTCCTGCATTCCTGCACTGCACCCGTGGCTTCCTGGGCTTCCCCGTCCAGCTTAGTGGAATCCACATACACGGTTAGGCTGTGCGCTGTCTGGGTCTGTGTGCGACTCACGTCCAGGGAATGTGTGTCCCCTCTCAGATGGCGTATTTGGCGTTCCTCATGCTGTTCACTTACACTGTGTTGGTGGAGATGCAGCCGCAGCCCAGCGTGCAAGAGTGGTTTGTCATCATTTACATCTTCGCCAACGCGCTGGAGAAGGCCAGGGAGGTGAGTTGCCCCCTCCGCCTTCGCCAAAGGAAATGCTGAGTTTGATTTGCATGTCAGAGGGTTATACGGAGAAAAGTCCCTGATTTCACCTCGTCATGCTGGCCAACCGCTTCTGCTGGTTGCTGGACCTTGGAAGTGTTAGCACGTTTGTCAGTCACAGAGTGATAAACGATGTCTTCTAATGATTATTAAAATTCCCATCTACTTGTGTTCCTTGAAGTGTTTTTTATTATGTGATGTGGTTGATTCTTAGAGCTAATAGCTTCATCTCAGAGTGGCAAGCTACTGGCTGAGGTTGTGCAGTACGTAAAGGAAGCATTGATAGTCTTTGAAACATCCTGGGATCCATCAGATGGTTACTGCATGGCAGTAACATCTCATATCAGATCACAGCGATGGCCGCTCTGCCTCCAGCTCCCTGTTCACGTGCCAAGGGCTGGGCCCCTGGCCACAGGTGGTCTCACCCACAGGGGAGACTTGGGCAGCTCTTGAGGCCACTAGGGAATGATCCAACAGATGGAACAGTTTTTCTCTCTCTCTCTTTCACATTCTCTGTTGCCCTGCTTTTCAAACAAATACATCTTAAAAAGAAGCTAGGTGAGAGTTGAAGCTGTGAGTTCCTCTGGAGAAAGTAGCACTCGGAGGCGGAAGATGAGCCACCTTATGTGATGTGACATTGAAAGAATTCTTAAATTGTAGCCCATTCTTTAAATTTCCTCTTTCCTTTCCTGTCCCCACCTGCCCCGGTTAGATCTGCATTTCAGAACCCGAGAAGTTTACTCAAAAGGTGAAGATATGGATTAATGAGTATTGGAACCTAATGGAAGCTGTGGCAATTTGCGTGTTTTTGGTTGGATTTAGTCTCCGGTGGGGCAAGCCTCCTTTCCACACGGCAGGAAGACTGCTCTACTGCGTAGACACCATCTTCTGGTACTCAAAGCTCCTGGACTTCCTTGCAGTGAATCAACACGCAGGTCCATATGTGACCATGATTGCAAAAATGGTGAGCACGGGAACTGATGGTTCTGCCTAATTTCATGGTTCATGTCTGATGGTTCATTTTGAAATTATTCATCGAAACACAGATAGCACAATCACGTCATCACTGCTTTTTGAATAAAACTCGCAACGAACAAATGCGCCTAAACAGCAGATTGGGTGGCTGACAAATACACTCAGCTTGCCCTTTGGGTAGGGGCCGGTTGGCACGGCCTTGGATCAGGTCTGTTTGTTTTGTGGTAATTACTGAGGGCTAGAGTTGGATGAAGCTATCACCAGTGAAGTTTTCTGTTAAAATAGCAACTTATTATTTTATTACTCACCACGCCTAATATAATTAAATTTGAGGGTACTTCAAAATGTTCATAGAACACAGAATTAAAATTGATTGCTTAGAGGCTGCACTGACTGAATGCCAGGATTCCTTTTGAGCACCAGTTTGTATCCTGGCTGTTCCACTTATCATCCAGTTCCATATTTGTGGGCTGGGAAAGCAGTGGAGGACGGCCCAAAGCCTTGGGACCCTGCACCCACGTTGGCAACCGGAAGAAGCTCCTGGCTTGAGATTGGCTCAGCTCTGGCCGTTCCGGCTACTTGGGGAGTGAACCAGCAGATGGAAGCTCTTTCTGTCTCTCTTCCTCTCTATAAATCTGCCTTCCCAATAAAAATTAACAAATCTTTTAAAAAATCACTTAAATTTATGAATGAAAATTTATTTTAGTGCCACAAAGCTGAAATCATGCATTTGACAGGTCCTAAAAAAAATTCATGGAAATTGCATAATGTGAAAGAACCATACATGCCTTTCAAACTTCTGTCCAATGGTTCACTCCCCAAGTGGGCACAATGGCTGGAGCTCAGCTGATCGGAAGCCAGGAGCCAGGCACTTCTTCTGGGTCCCCCATGTTTGGGCCGTCCTCCTCTGTTTTCCCAGGTCACAAGCGGGGAGCTGGATGGAAAGTGGAGCCTCCGGGACATGAATTGGTGTCCATTAGATTGCTAGCATTTGCAAGGCCCTGGAGGACAAAATTTTAAACATTGTGGCCCAACAGGCTAAGGCATTGCCTCTGTGACTGGAAGTCTGTGGTAGTGCCAGTTTGAGTACTGCCCACTCCACTTCCCATCCAGCTCTCTGTTTAAGGCCTGGGAAAAGTAGTAGATTTAGCCTTTGAGTCATTGTGCTGGGCCCAGCTTATATTTCTTTGTGTGAACATTTTTAATCATCCATGCGGTGCTTGTTATGTACCACACATTGCTCTACATGCTGTAATATATTAACACGTAGTGTTTGTAACATTTAATGAGCTTAGTTGTGTTGATATCCAATATTTACATTCTAGGGAAGGCAGGTTAGGGAAATTCTTCAAGGATTAGATAGTTTGTTTGTTTTGTTTTGTTTTGTTTTATTTTGTTTTTTTACTTTACATTCTTCTTATAGACCAGAAATATTTGCTCTGTTCTTTGTGACATTATCAGATAGGCCATGCTGAGGTATGCTGTGTAGCCAAGTGGTTTACAAAAGCAAGATTTTTTCTGCCTCATGCAAGATCTGATGAGTGCTCCTAGAGCTGCCTCTACACAAAGACTTCAGGATCCACAGTCCCTCCACTGTGTGGCACAGCCATGTCAACATGTGGCTTCTAAGGTCTGCGATGACAGCAAGGAGAGGGATGGGGATGGAAAGCGACCCCAGTTGGTGTCATTCCACAGTCCACTGGTCAGAAGCTTAAGAGAGACAAGTCCAAGAAACATGCAGAAAGCTCTTGGAATGCCTATGTTTCGATGAAGTCTTTGGCCCAGTGGAAGAGAAAACGGGTTAGGCTGAGCCATATTTCGTAGGTAAAATGGAATAGGCCTGTTCAGTTTCTCACAGTGTGATCAATTCATGAAGATAATCCAGGGAAGTAGGAGTCATTTTACTAATTTGAGTACACCTTTTTCTTTTTCTTCCTAACCTAAGCTCTGGTTCAATTACAAAAAGTGTCGCATGTTAGCAAATTTAAAGCCATTCCCATTCTACTACTGCAGAGAAAGCATGGATTCTATACTCTGAGCACACTCATTGCTCCAGGGACCACAGTGACTTGAAGCACATACTCTGTAGAGGAAGCAAAGTGGGTTAGCCAAAGAAAATCCAGCTATTCATGGGCTAAGGTATTTTAGTTGCTGATCAGGAAGTGTTGTTATTGGCAGGTAAAAGTATGATGGCTGCCGGTGTTTGCTTTGATTTCCATTCCCAGTCAGTGGTGAAGTTCTCATGGTGCTGTCTTATGTTTCAGGCAGCAAACATGTTCTACATCGTGATCATCATGGCCATAGTCCTGCTTAGCTTTGGGGTGGCACGCAAGGCCATCCTTTCCCCAAAGGAGCCTCCGTCATGGAGCCTCGCTCGAGATATCGTGTTTGAGCCATACTGGATGATGTACGGAGAAGTGTATGCCTCCGAAATCGATGGTGTGTGTGGGATTTCGGCATCACGCAGGAACCAAACCTCTATAGACACAGGAAAAACAAAAGTCAAACTAATCATCTAGATTTTAACTATGTATAAAATCTGCGATTTCCCCAAGTTTATGTGTTAGATGCTTGTATGGCGTGGTAAGGCTATGGCTCACCTCACGGCTCATTCTTTTCCTTCCTTTTTTTGCAGTTTGTGAAAGTGATCCATCTTGCCCTCCGGGCTCTTTTCTTACTCCATTCATGCAAGCTGTCTATCTCTTTGTGCAATATATCATCATGGTTAACCTGTTGATTGCTATCTTCAAGTAAGTTATTTGAATTAAATCTGGTGCTTCTGTTGAAAAGAAAAAAAAAATGTGGGCAAGTACGTTGATGGGCAAATTCATGTGTATTTTGAACAAGTCCCCCTTTTGATTGTGTTCTGTGTTTTATTACGGTGGTTTTTAAAAATATGGGCATGCAGCTACTGGTAGGAAAGAAGCAGTCAACATTATAAGTACAAAGAATAGTAGATGCAGCGTGAGAGCTTGGGAGTTGCCGTTGCAGTACGTTTGATCATGAAAGGATAGCAGTTGATACAGTTGAAAGTTGCCTGATGTTGGCTTCCGGGCCACTTGTCTCTCGTGGATTCCATACTTACACCTTGCCCCTCTCTTCCTACCATGTCCAGCAATGTTTACGTTGAAATGAAGTCCATTTCAAATAAACTGTGGAAGTACAATCGTTATCGCTACATCATGACCTACCACGAGAAGCCGTGGCTGCCTCCTCCCTTCATCGTGCTGTGCCACGCGAGCTTTCTGCTCCGCCGCCTTTGCTGCCGGCGCGCTCCCAACGACCAAGAAGAGGGAAATGTCGGATTAAGTAAGATTGATGGGTGGGGCCCGAGGGGGGAAGAGTTAAGAGTGGACTTCCCAGGGGATGGACACACGGACCCTGCATGGGAAAAGGCTGCGTGCCAACAGTCAGTGGCTGTTGCCGTGGGTCTGAGTCAATATGTTGCCCATATGATTAGGCTATAGTGCCATCTGCCAAAATGAATCGATCATTTGAAAGAAAGGAGTTGGCAGGAATGGGGTTTCTGTTTGTGTGTGGAAAGGCTTTGTGTCAGCTGTCTTCTCAGACAGACTAACTTCTAGAGAGCAGCACCCACACGCATTTCCCTGTAGTGGGCCATGGGATTCAAGCAGGGGGTTATGGAGGCCTGTGCTCTGAGACAATAGGTAAACAAGGCTTTCTTCACTTACTCACTGAAGATCCTTTGGTTCTCAAATCCACTTGGTTTTTTAAAATTCCAAGTCTTCTTAATTTAAATATTTGTTTCATTTATTTGAAAGGCAGAGTTACAGAGAGGCCTTCCATCCTATGGGACACTTCCCAAGTGGCTGGGCGAGGCTGAAGCCAGGAGCCAGACAGGACCAGGTGTTTCTTCGGGATCTTCCACCTGGTTTCCAGAGCCCAAGGAACTGGATCATCCTCTGCTGCTTCTTCCAGACTTGTAGTAGGGAGCTAGACTGAAAGTGGAACATCCAGGAATAGAACCGGCACCCATACTGCTGGCATCACAGAGAGCTCATTAACCTGTTATGCCATATTTATGTTTTAAAAGATGTATTTTATTTTTTATTGGAGTGGCAGATAGAGGGGAGGAGAGACAGGGAGGAAGATCTGTCCGATGGTTCACTCCTCAAGTGGCCATTACAGCTGGAGCTGAGAACTGCAAGTAACGTTTTTTTTTGATGGAGTCCACTCTAAGCTCTAGAACATTCGTGAAGTTTTGTGGCGTTGCTTTTGTATCACGTTGAAAGGTAGACATTTGCACATGGGGCAACACCGCCATCTGGTGGACACTTTTCTGGAAATTCTGTCACTGCGGTTTTCTTCGGTGCTTGATTCTCTAATCTACGGAAGGCTCCCATCATACAAGTGTGAAAATTTAATGCCCATTCAAGTTTCTCTGATTTAAAAAGACATTAGAGTTGGATGAGGATGAGAGAGATTGAATTTTTTCAGCATCTGACATATTTCTTTTTTATTTCACAAACCAATACATTTTATACTTTAGTTTTTGATACATTTTATGACTAAATATTACTTTGATTTAGCTATTTTTAAAATTCAAGTTTAGCCTTTTTTCTTTATTGTAAAATTATCTAATCCACTTGCATTTCAAAAATATATTCCAGAGAGCCATAATAACACTTTTCTCAGTATAAAAGAAATATTCAAGAAAGAACATTTTTGTAACATTATTTCACTTTCATATTTCCAAAATACAAGAAAGTAGATTTTTTAAAAAAATTATGTTAAATAAGAGAAGCAAGTTTGGAAACTGAATGTGGAAGCTGAAGTTTGCTGAAGAATTTCATTGCTTTCAAAAAAAATCACAAAAAGATGTGTCTTTCAATGAACAAGTTATGTCAGTGAATGCCTGCCACCTTGCCAGGTCATTGCTAATAAAAACGTCTGTTATTTTTCATTGTGGACTTAGAATGCGCAAACGTAGTCTGACAAGGCAAAACTTTCATTTGGTTAATTTCTGTTCTTCCCTTTCTTTTAAACTTGATTTTGAACTCATTGGTTATTTATTGTCATTTCAAAAACGGAAACATTTGACCCAGAGGGACGAAAAAAGGGTAATTAGCTTCTCCTCTTCTTTGCATATAAATATGATGAATGTTTGTTAATGAGCTGAAGCATTCCATGTTTGAAAACATGTACCAGGTAGTGTCTCTTCTATGGATGAAACACTTCCAGAGAATAAATGGGAGAGACCCAGACTAGTATTTCCACCTGTTTCTGCATGCTTCCTCTCTTTGCATCTCAGGAATGCAGTGTGACAGGGAAATAGCTTTTCTCACACAAGCCACAGTGCTTACCCATGTGCAGTCTTAGCTCATTTTGTGTTTGCTTTAACAAAATACTTGGGGCTGGATATTACAGGATGACACCTGCAGAAGGAATTAATACAGTTCCATGGGACCAGATCAGTTCCCACAAGAAAATATTGGTAGGGGCTGGTGCTGTGTAAACACAACCTCGGCAATGCTGGCATCCCATGTGGGGTGCCGATGGGATCCCTAACGGCTCCCTGCTTACGAGCCTAGCAAACCAGGAGGAGATGGCCCAAGTGCCTGGGCCTCCATGAGATCAGGAAGAAGCTCCTTGCTCTAGAGCAGCCCAGCTCCAGCCATTGCAGCCATCTGGGGGGTGAATTTACTTCCTGTCTTGCTGTGTGAATCCGCTCTCTCCCTTTCTCTCTCACTCCCTCTCCCCCATGTGACACCGTCTAACATGGTGTGACACACCTGCACACCTGCACACCTCACCAGACGAAGTCACCTCACCTTATCTTACTCTCTGCCTCCAAAACTAGGAGCTCTGTGGACTTTTTCTTTCTTTTTTTTTTTTTTTTACAGATTTATTCATTTTTACTTGGAAAGTCAGATATACATAGAGGAGGAGAGACAGAGAGGCCAAAGTTTCATTGCATGAGCTTTAGGGGACATACTCAACCCACAGGCAGAGCGGAGTGCCTTGTCTCAACACTCACCCCAACGTGTGTGCCGTTTCTTTCCCCCCACAGAGCTCTACCTGAGTAAGGAAGATCTGAAAAGACTTCACGACTTTGAAGAGCAGTGTGTGGAGACGTACTTCCATGAGAAGATGGAAGAGCTGAACTGCAGCTTTGAGGAGCGTATCCGAGTGGCATCAGAAAGGTAAACCCGACATCCTTCTTGTCAACCCTGCAAGCTGCTGTCAAACCTCGGTTCAGAATGGCTGAGCGAGGAGGAGGATCTGTGTTTGCACCCTGGAGCCCCTGGGTTTTCCAGAACTGAAGAATTTAGTGGTGTGGACTAGGCAAGTGATCCATGAATGCCTATTGGACATCTAGTATATTCCAGGAGCTCTTCTTCTTTTTTTAATTGTATAAATTTTATTTCTGATATATTCTACATATTTGATTAGGGTGCGGAGGGTCAAGGGCTAAAGGAAAGTGGGTGAGACCATTGTTTTGACATTCTCTTTTTGCCTCCCTGTCTCTGCGGGGAGGGGAGAGATAAGGGGAGAAGCCACACCCAGCATCCCAACCATCCCAGGGTCCCCGATATGGAGCATTTCAGGGCTGAGTCATGGGTCAGCCAAGATTCCCTGTGCTGTGCTGTGGGTAAAAGGGGTAAGGAAAATGAACAAAAAAATAAGGAAGGACAGACATCCAATGAACATGAAATGAACCACAGTTTTTATCCATCCTCTATAATGGGCGTCTAGGTTTTCTTCCCATGTTTTTGTAACTGTTGATTGTGCTGCAATGAAGGTGGGATGCACATTGCTTTCTCACGTATCAGGTCCTTTGTCTATATTCCTAGAAGTGGGATTGCCAGGTCATATGGTAGCTGGATTTTCAGTTGCCTGAGTATTGACCTTGATAATGGTTGCAGTGTAGCCTACAACTCCATCAGCAGTGGGGTAGAGTTCCCTTTTCCCTAAATCCTTGCCAGCAGGTCTTGTTGGTAGTCTTCTGTACGTGGCCCATTCTCACTGGCGTTAAGTGGAACCTCAGTGTCGTTTTAATTTGAATTTCGCTTATTACTAGGAACATGAACCGTTAGCCATTTAGATTTGTTCCTTTGGAAAATGTCTGCTCATTTCCATTGCCCATTTCTCCACTGTTTTTTTTCCATTGTTATGGTTATTCTGGAGTTGTTTGTGTATGCTGGGTATTAGCCCCTTGTCTGTTGTGTGGTGTGCAAAGATTTTCTGTGTTGGTTGTTTTTTCCTTTGTTATTGTTTTCTTTGCTGTGCAGAAACTTCTGAGCTTAATGTAGTCCCATTCGTCTATTTTGGTCTTGATTTTCTTTGCTTTTGATGATTTTTCCTAGGAAGTCTTTGCCTGTACCTTTATCTTGTATAGTATTTCCTACATTTTTTTTTTTCTGACATGTTGATGATTTCTGGGTGTGGGCTTAGATCTTTTATCCACTTAGAGTTGATCTCTGTGTGTGGTGACAGGTGGGGATATTGTTTCTCAGGTCTGGTGGCTGGTATCCAGTCGTCCCAAGAGCATTCGTACAAGAGACCGTCTCTCTTCCCTGGGTTGTTTTCTGTTCTCTTGTCAAAGATGGCTGTACATGTGTGGACTCCCCTCTGATGTTTCTCTTCTGCTCCGTTGGTCTTCCTCTGTGTCTCTGTATATTTTTAAAACATTCATTTATTTATTTGAAAGGCAGTGGTGAGGGAGAGGGATGAAGAGAAAGAGAGAGAATGAGATAGAGAGAGAGATCTTGTATCTGTTGGCTTACCCCCCAAATAGCAGGACCACATAGAAACTGCAAGCCAAGCATTCAGCCGTGTTGTGCTGCCTTTTCAGACACAATAGAAGCAAGCAGCCAACATTTGAACTGGTGCCTCTGTGGGATGCTGGTGTCACAGGTGGTGGCCACAGCACTGACCCAAATCAACAAGTCATTTCATGACAATAACATGCAAAATCCAGAAATGTTCATCAGCTGTAAGTCCTATATCTTTTTCTTGGAATTAGAGCAGAGGCCTTGTGGGTAGAAAAATATGGATCATTTTAGGGGGCTATGAATTTGGACACGAAGCTCTAATTTACCTTCCTCTGTAGTCGTTGTTTTTCCCTGGATAGAGTTATCACAATGGGGCTGTTTTTACACGGAAGTACTTGTTGGCTTCATTTCTGAGGTCCTCACCAAGGAAGTACAGACCGAAGGTCATGTAGGTGGAGGGAGGAGAAATGAGGATGATGTTTGTGTGAGAAGCTGCTTCTACAGAAGAGTTGCATAACCTTTTGCAACTAGATGAGTGGCGAAAGAGGAAGAAGAGAATGTCCTGGGGGCTGTTTGAGGTCTTAGTTGTCCTGGTGGGACACCAGGTTCCCCCGACTCCCCTGCTCCCCAGCAGGGTTAGCCAACCTACTCTTGTCTCTGTTTTGTCACAGAAGATGTTTCTAGGTGTTTTCCATGTCAAACATGTCTGTGTACCTTATACTTGGAAAATGCTGTGACTTTTGAAAAGTTAAAACTCAACAGTCGAGTTCCAGGTTGAGAAGGTCTCACTCCTGTTTGACTGTGAGCCTTACTGTGGAACCTCTGGGTTCACCTCCCAGTGTGTTACGTGTTGGTAGGGTTGACTTAGCACATCGTGGGTCTCTGGGATCCCCAAGAGAGCTTGCCTGTGTCCCAGATGGTCGCTGAAATGGATGAAGTGGAGTGCAGTGGTTCGTGCATCTGTCATGGAGTTGGTCTGGGGCAGCACACTGTGGCTACGTGATCCAGCCTGTGTTTAGTGAAAATAACAGACATGCCCAGCTGGTATGTTGCGATATGCGCAAAATTAAATAGAACATGTGGAACCTTCGTAAAATGCCTTGCACGTGTTGAGTACTCAGTGAATATTAATTACATGATGATTATAATTGTACCTGTTGTCTGATTTTAAAATAACTTGTCTGAAGACCTACAATGAAACAAGTACCCTACTCATCTCCTGCTCTCATACTTTGCACAGAGGAAAGTAAAATGATAAGGATTTATTTTAATGTGTCAGAATGACTGAAAGGCTAGATGAAATTAGTGTATTTGGTGGTCTAGGAATATAATTAAGATGTATGTGGCTCAGGACACTGAGCTTTAGAAAGTAAGTGCCTTAAAAGCAAGAGGACCCGATCAGAGGTGAGCAGGTTATTTGTCTAACGGGCTCCTATTGTGGCGTGTTACCTGTCGCCGTGAATAGTTTGCTGGTTTCTATTGTGTCCATTCGATGTGATTGCTGCTAATGGAACTTAATGAGCCTCCATTACGGCTGTGCAGACTGTACTGTTTCTGAATTAGATAAAACAGTGTGCTGCCTAGAGACGCTCTAATTAAGGATATTTGGGAGAGAATACACATATATTTCGTGCTGTTTCCTGCATCATCCTTGCCAATTCTAATTTTGCAGGTTTCAGAAGGTCAGGAGATATTTATTAAACTGCTATTGAGCTCTGGAGGTAAAAAGCAAGAAGAGACTGACTGGCCTACCCACTCAGGGGGCTGCAATAAAAATGGAAAAGCACCACCCTGTTTACCGTTTCATTCCTATTCACGCAGCTTCCAGGAAGGGAAAGTGGAAGATCACTCGATTTCTGCGCCTTGAGACGTGTTCTAGGATGGAAGCGCTCACACTGCTTTGGGGAATTCTTGCTACATCTGAGTGTTGAGCTCTTCGTGGTTTAGCGACCTCTTCCTTGCTTCTGTGTGGCTCAGGGGCCTCTTTGATCATGTGCAGGTGGTGGGGTCAGCCACGCACCTGTCGATTAGATACCATCCTTGGTTATTTTTAATATTTTAAACCTTATTTATCAGATTTTAGTTATTGTGAAGTTGAAACCATACCCATCTCTCACAAATGAGAAAAAACATCTTAGTAAGAAAATAAAAAAATATAAACTCTCATATCATAAGCTAGTGATCACTGTGGAAATTTGGTCTTTTCACATCTTTTCTCTCTGTTTTTTTTTTAATATTTTATTTATTTATTTGAAAGAGTTAAAGAGAGAGAGAAAGAGAAAGGCAGAGAGGTTATTCATCCACTGGTTTGCTTCCCAAATGGCTTCAGCAGCCAGGCAAAGAAGGCTTTTGCCGAGAGCCAGGAGCCAGGAGCCAGGAGCCAGGAGCCAGGAGCCAGCAGCTTCATTTGACTCTCCTGTGCAGGTGGCAGGAGCCCCAAGCTTTTGGGCTTATTGTACTGCTTTCCTAGGCACACTAGCGGGGAGCTGGGTCAGAAGCAGAGCTGCCAAAGTCCATATTGGATGTGGCATTGCCGGTTGTGGCTGAGCGTGCCAGCTCACATATATTCTTCTACACATTTGCCGCTGAAATTATGCCATTCACCTTTCTTCATCAAATACATTTTTGCCAATCATTCTTTGTAAATATATTTTTAACTTTCATTGTTTTTGTGCCTATGAAAGCTTCATAGAAACTTTAGAAGTATATAATGCAGAAAATGTTACAGACATCCATAGCTGTGCCACTCCCTCCAGACATAGAGGAAGAAAACAGCTGTGGACACTGTTGTGTGTGATCTCAGCAGTAACAAGCATCTGTCTGCTTCAGCTTAGTGAAAGTGCAGTCTCTTTGTATTCGTTGCTTATAGTATTGCTTTCTTCTCAACATTGTTTCAATCCCTGTATAAATTGGCTAAGTTTATTTTAAAAAAATCATTTATTTGAGAGGCAATGAAGAAGGGAGGGGGGAAGGAGGGAGAGAAGCAGAGACAAAGGAATCTCCCAACTATTGGTTTACTTTCTAAATTCTTGCAACGGCCAAGGCTGAAGTCAGGGTCTAGGGGTCGATCCCAGTCTCCCATATGAGCAAGAGGGTTCCCAGTATCTGAGCTATCACCCACTATCCTTCAAGGTCCACATTACCAGGAAGCTGAAAGTCAGACTGAAGCCAGAACTGAAAGCCGGTACTCTGAGGTGGGGATGTAGGTATCTCAGCCTGTGGATTAACAACGAGGTGAAATGCCCACCCTCAAATTTGCTAGATTGCAACAAATGTTGCAATGAGTACAAAGTTATTATTATCTTAATTTTCAGCTTTGGGGGCTGGCATAGTGGCTCAGCTGGTTAAGCCGCTTCCTGTAATGCAACATCCAGTACAAATACAGGTTCAAGTCCTGGCTGGTCAGCTTCTGGTCCAGCTCCTTGCTAATGTGCCTGGAAAAGCCTCAGAAGATGGCTCAAGTGTTTGCTTTCTTGTATCCTTGTGGGACCCCTGGAAGAACCTCTTGGCTCCTGGCTTCTAAATCTGGCCCAGTCGTAGCTATTGTGGTTATTTGTGGAGTGAAACAGCGGGTCAACAATCTCCTCTCTGTATAACTGTGCCTGTCAAACGTTTTGAAAATCTTTTAAAAGTTAAAAAATTTTCATCTTTGATTACTTACTGAGGTTGTTTTACCTCTTCAAGATTTCCTTTTTCCTTGTCAATGGGAAGTGTTCAAGTTTTTGTCATATAGATTATTTAATAAAAGTGGAATAAATGATCAGATAATCCCTTTGATTATCAAACAAGACACTAGAAATGTGGTTCTGAAATATTAGGAAGAAATAAGGGCTAGGAATGGAGACACATGATTTTTTTCCTTATTTTGGTACTGGGGTAGCTAAAGGAGTGAACGGGGAAGACAGATTTTAACTCTGGAAGCAGATAAGGCTGTGGAACTTACTAGAAAGAGGTGTAAGACAGGAAGTGATCAAGGCAACTCCCATGGGCTTCATGTATCTATCGGTTTTGTTTTTCTCTTCACCAATAGGGTTACAGAAATGTACTTTCACCTGAAAGAAATGAATGACAAGGTGTCTTTCATAAAGGACTCCTTACTGTCTCTGGACAGCCAGGTGGGACATCTGCAGGACCTCTCTGCTCTGACAGTCGATGCCCTCAAAATTCTTTCTGCTGTTGACACTTTGCAAGAGGACAGGGCTCTTCTGGTTAAGAGGGAGCATTCCGATCGCAGAAAACTTCCGCACAGCTGGAACAATGTCATCTGCACAGAGGTGTTAGGCAGCATGGGGCTCTCCAGCAGAAAGAAGTTCCAGTATTACAGCATGCCCCCTTCTTTGCTACGGAGCCTGGCTAGAAGCCAGCACCAGCCAGGATCGCAAAGGAGAACTCTTCTTGAGGATTCAGACAGTCAGAGAGAGACTTCCGGTGTGAGAGATGATGAAAAAGAGCCAGCATCGGAAAAAAGTGTAGCTGCTTCTGGGATGTCCATCGGCAGTCACGCACACTCCAAGTATGGCAAGTTTCTCCTGATCCCTTCTTATTTAAAACAAGTTCCTTTTCCTGCCAGGACACTCTTGCCTCTGTCCAGACCCTACATGGAAACAGGTGCAGGCAGACTGGCATCTGAACAGACGCATCAGAGCGAGATTACTGATCATCCACACTGGCAGAGCCCAGTGGCCTCAGAGAAGGCAGCAGTGGCTGAAGCCAAGCAGAGGCATGGTGCAGTCAGTCAGACACCTGGCACACAAGACAAAGGGAAGCCAGCTCTGCCCATTCTGGATTGCACACCTACACCGGGGGCAATGACCTCCCTCCCTTCTCAAGCCAAGAGCATGCGCGCTGCTGGTGGATATGTCAACTGGGCATTTTCGGAAGGTGATGAAACTGATCTGTTGAGCATCAAGAAAAAGTGGCAGAGCTGCTTGCCCTCCACGCCTAGCAGTGGTTCCGCACAGGGTTCGCAAAGCCAGATGCAGAGTCAAAGCAGATCCCTGTGTGACAGTTCAGCGGCACTGACCCAGACTGGTAACTGCTCGGAGGTGCGGCCAAATACACCTTTGTGGATCCGTCCTTTCCACAAAGACAGGTGCTTCTTTAAAAGCCACAGTTTTAGATTCTGCAAGGAAGAGAAGTTGATGAAGATCTGTAGGAGTAAAAGTGAGTAGACTTAAAAGAAAAAAGACATACGAAATTCTTTCATCATTACCATTTTTCAAATCTGACTCGTGACTAAATTCCCCTTTTCCTCATCCTCTCAGTTCTTTTTAGAAAACAAAGCGTCCCTTCTCCCAACATTCAGTCTTAAACTTGCTTACATAAACCATTTACCTTACAGAAAGCTCAAGATGCACAGGGGCAGCGTGGATCAAAGCAAACATGTTGACAAAGAACATGAGAATGTCAAGAAGAAAGAAGACGCAGAGGCTGCAAGTGCCGGTAAGCCAGACCCGCTCTGACTTCCAGGGGTTTGGTGACTAAGGGCAGAAGCCTATCTCGGCTTGGCTGTCTTCTTTTTAAAGTACCATACTACCACACAGCACTGTACTGGAAGGTGCACAGATTTAAGTCACAAGAGTGGATTTACTGTAATTTATTATTCTGCGCTGGATTTTGAAGCACATTTAGCTTGCTTTCTGCTTTTGGCTGCCCCCCAAAAAGAGGAAATAAACATGGTATGCAAATACACACACATGTACACATATATATGTTTATGAATTCTTCAGAAATATTCTTGACTCCTATGGCTTAGGTGTTTAATTTTTGAAGAAGCTTGCCAGTGGCCGTTTTGAGCATCCGCCTGTAGCTGATGAAACTTTCAGCCCCACACAGTGTCACCAGTCCTCAGTACGCACACTCTCTCAAGTTTATCCGTAGCATTCCTTGTGTAGTGGTATCTTACGATGGTTTTATTTGTATTTCTGCAGTGACAAAAATGCCTGGAGTCTTTTCATGTGTTTGTTTACCATCTGTATGATTTGTGATGCATCTGTTCAAATATCTTGCCCATTTTTAGGATCAGGTTTTGTCTTAAAGAAATTTAAGAGTTTCAAAAGACATTTTCTTTTTAAGTGATGCATAAGATGGAATGTTGAGGGGCTCCTTTGTGATGTTTCAGTACCTGTGTATGTTGTGTCATGTTCATATCTGGCTCCTGGAAAATTAATACTTTATTGTGAAAATGTTCAGCATTCCTTATTTTAACTCTATTCTTCTTTGGAAAAGTACATTATTGTTTTCTATGGTTATCCTCTAGAACACCAGCACTTCTTTCTCCTATTACTTAGTGCCTGCAAATCAAATATTCCTCTCCACCCTTTTCTGTCCCTGGTACAGTAACCATTTTTCTACTGTTAACTTGTGTGAAATCAACATTTGAACGTTCCACATATGAATGATATTATGTGCTGCTTGTTTTCTGTGTGTGCCTCATTTCACTTAACATAATGACCTCCAGTTCCACCTGTGTTATTTCAAATGACACGATTTCTTTCTCTTCCTTCCTTCCTTCCTTCCTTCCTTCCTTTCTTTCTTTCTTTCTTTCTTTCTTTCTTTCTTTCTTTCTTTCTTTCTTTCTTTCTTTCTTTCTTTCTTTCTTTCTTTCTTTCTTTCTCTCTTTCTCTCTTTCTCTCTTTCTTTCTCTCTCTCTTTCTCTCTTTCCTTCCTTCCTTCCTTCCCTCTTTCCTTCCTAAGAATCAGCATCCATATCAGACTCACAGGGGGGTCTTGGCCACAGCTAGAGTCACTGTGGCTTGGTCACGGGTGGAGACTTCATCTGATGTGCCAATATGCTGGTTGCACGTTTGATTATTTGAAAAGTGGTGCTACAGAAAGAGAGGAGAGCAGAGATCTTCCATCCACTGGTTCGCTCTCCAAATGGCCACAGTGATTAGGCTGGGCGCAGCCTGAAGCCAGGAACCAGTTCTCACATGGCATCAGGGCTCCAGGGACTTGGGGGCTGCTCCCGCCAGCAGAGCCAGCAACAGAGCCAGTAATGTGGACAGGGAAAGGGTCTGCGGATGAAGCACCCACAGGAGACCAGTGATGGTGTAAGTCTCTCCGAAGTCTCTCTTTATTGCTGCTTCATCTCTCCTTATATACTCTTATCCCAAATCCGTTAGCCAAGCAATTGGATACAGCTGAGTCCAATTAGTCTAGGTGTTTTTAGCCACAAGCCAGGTTCCTGTTCCTGCCCAGGTTAACGAGCACTAATTAACTGCGTTCAGAATTGGAGCAGCCAGGACTCAAACTGATGCTTATGCAGAATGCCGGAGCTGCAGGCAGCAGCTAAGCATACTGTGCTGCAGCACCAGCCCCTTTCCCTGACTTTTTAATCATGACTGCAAAGAGATTACAAGTGCTTGCAGGTGCCAGCCTCCATGGGAGCAGGCATGTATCAAGCTTCCCATTTGGTTCAAAATGCAGCCATTGTTACTCCTTGCTGTTTTTCACCATGGCGCCTCGATTGGTGTGTCTCAAAGATGGTTTCAGACTAGTATCATTGTATTCTAACCAGTGTCTTTCTGTCTAGGTTATAACAGTCAACGCCTGCTGTCCAAGTGACCAGTTGAATTCAGAGCCAGGAGAAAACAACAAACCAGAGGAGAACTATGGCAAACAGTGGCCAACAGCGTCCAAACTTCATCGTGTAAATAAGAGAGAGTCGCCAGTCTTGAATGCCAGAAGCCTGGTGGAGTTTTCTCGGGGTATGTTTTTAAGTTCCATGATGGTCTTTGCTATTCTTCCAGAGAGAGATGAGGAGACAGAGGCCCACTCTTAGGCAGGGAACTACCTCTTGCTGTAAAAATTTTTTGAAAGAGATGGAATTTTGTTTCTTGAAAGGAATAGTTACAAGAATCGAGGAAAGAAAAATTAAGATTTGAAGAGTTTTATGTGCGAAGCTGTTGAGCCTGACTTGGAGTGCTTTTGCCAGAGAGCATTGTTTAGTGTGGCTTATGGCTCAGGAAGATTGACTCATCTGACACGTTGTTAGTGGGACACCAGTATAGGTCCCCACGCAGAACTCAGTGGATTGAATGAGACTTATCTTCTCCTGCCCAGACAGAACGTTTATTTCACGGTTTTTCAAGTTTAACGAGAATGTATTTGTAGAAGAGAGAAGACAGGTCCACATGTTTGTCATAGAGACAATGAGGCATGGGATTGGAAATGAGCCCGGACGTGTCTGTGGGCTCGGGCAGTTGTGTCATCCTCTGCTACTTCCCCAGGTACATGATCAGGGACCCTGGTCGGATGTGGAGCAGCCTGGGACTGGCACCGATGCCAGCATGGCGCTGGTCTCACTAAATGTATTGTAGATGAAGCATTGCCCATAGATTGCAGGAGAAGGTGAATATAAAAATATTTAATAGAAAGGAAGATTGTGGAACATTTAATTTTTAACTGTGATAAAGATGTATAAGCTGTTACAAATATAAAAGTAGCTATAGAAGACTAGAAATAGAGCCTATAGCTTTCAATCATTTGAGAGAAAAAGTAAAGACTTGCTAAAACTTGTTAAAGACAGAAAGAGAAAACTATGTCCAAATTTAAATAAATGTACTGTGTTCGGATTTTTCTGTTAGGGAACTGATTTGAATGTAACACATTTTTTTTTTGAATTTTCTAATTTTTTTCTTTAACAAGGTCTAGAACCTTACATATGTCAGAAAAGGAAAATTGAAGAAACTGAACAACATGCTGTACAAGTGGGGGATTATTTAACACAGTCCCGAGAGGTAACGAGATTTTGATAGTTAAAAATTTTGGGTGTGTATTCCTTTCATCTTTGTGTCCTTTAATTGGCTTCTACTGTTTTTTGGCATTGAATTGAAATCTTTGCTTTGAAGCCATGGTTAGGTGAATCCTGTTTCTTTCAAAATCACATATTATTGTTTCTGCATTTTTTTTTACAGTACATCTGTGTGTCCAATAATGTATTCTAGGGATATATACATGAAAGAAAAAAATTGAGGAATTCTTGAAACTTTTTGCAAATGCTTAAAGTTATCATACGGAAGAAAAATAAGATGTTTCAACACACTTTAAAAAAAATAGATTCATTTTATTTTTATTAGAAAGTCAGATATACAGAGAGGAGGAGAGACAGAGAGGAAGATCTTCTGTCTGATGATTCATTCCCCAAGTGGCTGTAATGGTTGGAGCTGCACCAATCTCAAGCCAGGAGCCCGAGAGCCTCTTCTGGGTCTCCCATGCGGGTGCAGGATCCCAAGGCTTTGTGCTGTCCTCGACTACCTTCCCAGGCCACAAGCAGGGAGCTGAATGGGAAGCAGGGCTGCTGGGACTAGAATTGGTGCCGATATGGGATCCTGGTGTGTGCAAGGCGAGGATTTAGCCACTAGGCCAAGCTGGTCTGAAGCCAGGGGCAGCAGTTTCTTCCAGGTCTCCCCCATGCGTGCTGTGATGCGGACCTGAAGTAGTGCTCAGCTGGGGTGTGGATTTTGCAGGTGTTGACTTTTCCTACCACGTCACAATGCTAGTTTCTCAGTACACTTGTAGCCCTGTGACGCAGGCTTCAGACCGTCAGAGGAGCAATCTTTGGCAACGGGAGCTTCGCAGGAATGGGATGGCTTCTTGCTGGCAGTGTTGAGTCACGAGGGTGATCCATCAGGCATAGACTGGACAGAACCCTTGGCAGGTGTGGCGAAGGCCGTCGAAGCTTTGTGGGGTAAAGGCCCCCTCGACGCTTCTCTTGTGCAGATTCTCTTGTTTTTCAGTTAGTTTTTCTTTGTACAGATTCAATAAATGTCCTTTTAAAAAAAGTGTCATCCGACCATGAGAGAAGTGTGAGCCAGTTTAACTTACTCAAGAGGCCTCATTTCAGTCTTGGCTTTGATGTTAGTCTGTGAACTGTATAAACAACCTTATCTGTTCTTGTAGGAAGACTCCTTGGATATGATTGTAGGTGGGGAAACCTGGGTTTGAATCCTGCCTCTAGCATTTCTTGTGTTGGAAAGCTACGTGTATGTCAGCTGTTGAGCTTCCTTGGGTGTATCTTTAAAGGGATATTAATGTTGCCCTTATGGGATTGTTTTTGTAATGCTTACTGGGAATGTGTATTTATTTGAAATGCGGAGTTACAGAGAGAGAGAGAGAGAGACAGGGACAGGAAGAGCTTTTGCACCTGCTGATTTAGTACACAAATGGCTGCAATGGCAGGGGCTAGGCTAGACGAAGCCACGAGCTCGGAACTCCATCTGCATCTCCTGTGTGGGTGGCAGGGGTAGCAAGGGTCCAAGCCCTTGGGCGATCTTCTGCTTCCTTTCTAGGTGTATCAGAAGTGGTAGGCAGGTTTCAAACTAGCTCTCATAGGGGATGCCAACGTAGCAGACGGAGGCTTAGCTTGCTGTGCCACAATACTGGCTCTAATATGAAATAAAGGGCAACAAATGAAGCACTTAATAAAATGCCCAGAGCAGTGCCTGTAGCACACTTTGTTTCCAATGTTAGCCAAATTCAAATAGGATATAGAATATGGTAAATTGAATGTAACATTTTAAATGTCATTTACTGATGATATCTAGCCGTATATCCAGCCCCGTTTCTATAAACACTTTCCTATTTATTACAGTTCTCCTCAGTGTTCCCATAAAAGTAATTTCCTTCTAACTTTGTTAATTCATTGAACTGTTCTGATAACAGTATACCTCTTTCTAGCATGTGCTTCATGTTTATTAAAAGGGAAGTGTTCAGGAAGGGACTCTCCTGCATGGAGTGTGTTTTGCATCATGCTCCTGGGAGGGCGGGGTGGGGGTGTCCTGTGTGCAGGAGTGACGGCCTTGCCTTCTGCTCAGGATCTCAGGGAAGACTCGTGGTGGACTTCCAGGAGCACCAGCCTCATTAGCAACTCCCTGTGAGTATTACCGTTGTTTTCTCAAAGCTTCTTCATTATAGGAAAAACAAAAAAGGCTTAGTTTAGTCAAAACAAGGAATGCAAAGAGAAAGTCAGCATTTTTCTTTAGATATCCAGAATTAAAATAATTTATTTCCCAAGTTTTCCTGAAACAACAGCTCAATAGAACCATCCCTCTTGGTTTTTAAAGATTTATTTATTTTTATTGGAAAGACATTTACAGAGAGAAGGAGAGAGAGAGAGAGAGAAAGATCTTCCATCCACTGGTTCACTTCCCAAATGGCTGCAGGGGCTAGAACTGAGCTGATTCAAAGGTGGGAGCCAGGAGCCTCTTCCAGGTCTCCCATGTGAGTGCAGGGTCCCAAGGCTTTGAACCATCCTCTGCCACTTTTTTGGCCACAAGCAGGGAGCTGGAAGGGGAGTGGAGCAGCCGGGACACGAACATTCGCTCATAAGGAATCTCAGCTGTTGCAAGTGGAGGATTAGCCAATTAAGCCATTGTGCTGGACCTCTACAACATCTTTTTAAAAATGTATTTTTTTAATTTGAAAGGTAGAGTTAGAGAGAGAGTAAGAGAGAGTGAGAGAGAGAGAGAGAGAGAGAGAGAGAGAGAGAGATTCCATCTGCTGATACACTCCTTAAATGGACACAGCAGCCAGACCTGGGTTGATCTGAAGTCAGGAGCTCGGAGCCTGGTCTGGAGCGTTTCCCAGTTCTCCAAATCTCACATGGGTTCAGGAGCCCAAGCACTTGGACCATCCTCTGCTGCTTTCCCAGGAACGTTAGCAGGGAGATGGATCGCTCCCCTACGGGGTGCCAGCGTTACTGGTGGCTTTACCTGTTATGCCATCTGCCAGCGTTTAACTGAATATCTTTAAAGAATAGAATGAGGGGCTGGCACAATGACTCAATTGGCTGATCCTCCACCTTGCAGCACTGTCATCCCTTATGAGTGTCAGTTTGTGTCCCAGCTGCTCCAATTCCCATACGTTTCCCTGCTTGTGTCCTGGGGAAGCAGTGGAGGATGTACTCATGTAGGATACCTGGAAGAGACTGCTGGCTCTTAGCTTCGCATAAACCCAGCTCCAGTTGTTATGGCTGTTTGGGGAATGAACTAGTAGATGGAAATTTTTTTTATTTAGAAAAGTAAGAAAAGTAAGATTTGAAAGGCACTCAAAGATTATTCTTTTTTGATTGTGGTGTCATCTGGAAATTCCCACTTGCATTATCAAGGTACCTCTTCATGCAGCGGTCATCGGCTGAGTTCAGATCCGTGTGCTCTGTGGAAGGGCAGTTGGTCCAAGCAGGTGGAGGACGATCTGCTCTGCAGGTCAGTCTTTCTCTGCAGCTCCCATCACGGTCACCCGGCTCGCCTGCCTGCAGCCTCAACGAGCACCAAGACTTTGCTCTCCCAAAGCTTCAGGAGTTTGTGCTCTTGCAAAGTAGTGGGTTATTGCAGCATGAAATGAAACAATAATTGTAATTGTACTTTCTTCCCCAAGGACCTGAAATACTGGAGATATTCTTTGCATTTATTCATACTTGCCTGTGGCCACTTGTGCACTTGAGCAGGGCAAGTAACGATTGAAAGAGAGTTAATTTCAGCCTGCGAACATTCAGGGGCCACGTGGGCTAATGAAACTGATTTGTAGGCTTGTCCAGAGTCATTCGCAGACTCATTAGTAGGCATCTGCTTTGCATAGTTCAGGAACTCGTTAGTTTAATTGATCCAGAACAACGTGAGCACAGTTAAATCTTACGTATGTTGTGTGATCACATAGCTAATTGGAAAACAACAGCTTTCCGATTAGCTTAAGGCATATACAGTGAATGGCTTACATGCCTATCTGTTGTAAATTTCTGTACCAATAAAGAGAGGAATCAACAGAAGTGATATTTCACACTCTGGGTTATTTTTTTTAAAAAAGATTTATTTATTTTATTGGAAAGGCAGATGTACAGAGAGGAGGAGAGACAGAGAGGAGGATCTTCCGTCTGGTGATTCACTCCCCAAGTGAGCGCAATGGCTGGTGCTGTGCCGATCCAAAGCCAGGAGCCAGGAACTTCTTCTGAGTCTCCCACATGGGTGTGGGGTCCCAAGGCTCTGGGCCGTCCTCCACTGCTTTCCCAGGCCTCAAGCAGGGAGCTGGATGGAAAGTGGAGCTGCTGGGATACGAACTGGCGCCTATATGGTGCGTTCAAGGAGAGGACCTTATCCATTACGCCAGGCCCACACTCTGGGCTATTGTTTCACATTCTTTTTGTGTTATCATTGTTTTAAACAGGTCGAGAAGTCCAAATGGAGTTGACAGTAAGTGTTTATATTTAAACATTGTTTTTTGTTTTTTGTTTTTTTCCAATCAGGTGTATCACAAGGTTCAATGTCTTGCTGAGATTCTGGGAATTTTTAATTGTGGTTATATTTTCCTCACTGTGCATATTTAGAAAATTTAGTGGAAAAACACAGTGTGGAATAAACACAAAGCTATAGCCATTTGGTGTAAGTTTTTTGTTTTGAATTGGTTTTGAGTTGAGTGAGATTTCTCACTCCCGCCAATTCATCCTGTTTTTTTTTTTTTTTTAAATTGGTGGTTGTTGTTTGTTTTGTCTTTCTTGTTTCCTGAGAGTGAGGCTCTATCCCCAAGCGCATTTGGACTGTTCATAGCTCTTACTATCACCTTTCCTGCGGTGCTGTTTCAAATACGCTCTTCACAATCGCGTGCGGGTCCTGTTTCCTTTGTGGTCGCAAGAAGACTGTCTCCAATGGCAACTGAGGGCTCAGTCAGATCGCCCTCTCTCTCAGTGGTCTTAAGCATAGACCAGTGCTGGGCACTTGATAAATATATAAGAGATGTGAGTAAAATCTTACAGACCTTTAAGTGAGGAGGTCAGGTTGAAACTCTGCGCTAACACTCAGCTCTCCCACCGTGGACGTGTGTCATGCAGTTCATCTATGGAGGTCTGATCGTGTTCTCTGAACCTTGGGGTACATTTCTGCTATGGGTCTTGCACTGTGTGTTTCTGCTGTGTATCTTGTACTTGTCCTTTTACTATGTGCTTGGCAGACTGTTTCATGATTGCAGTCACACAGTTTTCTCTGGCGAGCTGTATTTACTTTCTTCCCGAATAGGGACCACATCTTATTCTCATCTCTCAGGCTTGGCATGACCCAACCTGGGACCTGAAAATAAGAGACTCTTATTTCTGGATTCATTTAGGAATCAAATACATAGTCTTTTTTGCTGACCTTGCTTTTCACCAGGCTCTTCTGCCCCCACCCTGCCTGGAGGAAGCGAGGCTCGCTTCTTTCTTAACCCAGCAACAAAAAGCCAGAGAGATCTGTAGAACTGGGCTCATTATGCTGCTTAATCTACTAGGTATAAAGCAGTTGCCACCATGAGACTAAAGTTTCTCCACTTTAATTTTGATTTTATGAAATGGCAAAACTGTTGCAAAGGATTTCTCTGGAGCCTTCTAGTTTAGGAGTGGAGCAGAGGACAGCCCCTAAAGCTGGGAGGGGCTGCTCCCGGCACACAGTTCAACTTGGAGGAGTGTTCCCAGTGCATAATCCTTGGGTAGCCAGATTCCTCAGTGGTGTGTTTGCCAGCCTCCTTTGTCTCTGGCATCTGCCTCTTAATGTGCTTTTGTCATTTTGTTGTTATTTTAGGTCAGCAGAGTCTACTAGTAACTTGGTATTAATAATATCTTTCCGTGGATTCTGCATCTTGGTAGGGAGCTCAGAGAATCGCGCTTCTGGGATGTCGTGAAATGTGATGGGCAGCTGAGTGCTTGCCGCAACCCAGAGGTGTAATTGGTTTAGAGGAAATTTATCTTCAAGGCTAATATTACCTGTCTTCTTCCAATTCCCTATATAAATATGTTTGGAGATATTGCATTGATGATTGGAAACTGTCAGCATATATGCACCGTAACGTGGTTAAAGGATATTGGGCAAGTTTTGTAAATATTGAGAAGCCATTCTGATTAACCAATTCAATAATGATTTTGAAGACAATATATTCACAAACATGTATTTACCTCCAGCCGAGTGATTAAAATGCCAGTCTGCTCTATAATTTCAGGGATCTCAGCCTCGTTGGAAAGCCCTCCAGAGTCTCACCACCATTATTCAGGTAGGCTACATCTGCACATGGATGGGTGAGCTGAGCCAGAGGTCTAGGGTTCCACACCTGTAACCAGAAATAGCGATGAATGGTCTGTTGTCCTCACCTTGGAAAGTTACTCGCTCTGATGAGAAACATATTCCGTTTTCGTATCTTGTCGTTGATCTGGTAAGAGATTTCAACAAAAATGTGTTGGCAAGTTCCCAGTCGGGCAGGAGAGAGACAACCTGGAAATCTAAACATCCCCTGTAAACTTCAAGCCAGTGCCAAGCCAGAGATGGCAATGCCGGGCATTAGGGGAAAGGTAGAGGAAGCTGCTGTTGGGAGAAGGGTTTGTCCCCTCCCGGGGCCCCTCGTGCGCCAACTCGGTGAACGCCAGTCCTGCAGAGTAGGTTCCACAAGGATGTTATTAAACAGAGAGGGCCAGGGTCTTGACTCTCTCAACCAGCACCACTTTGCATTACTCCTGCTGTCTTCAGAGTGGGAGTCCTTGCTGCCACCCTGCCCGAGGAGCAGTCTGCCAAATGGCTAGTTGAGAATTCAGAGGAAAACACTTTGAAATGCAAAGCAGCGTCCTCACCAGCTGGACTTCTGGCACTGGGTGATTTCTAGGGAGTTCAGGGGTGTCGTTGCTGGCAGCATTGGCTGATAAAGTCGCTCACTCAATGTAAAGCTAAAGCTTGTGCATGTTATAATTGCCATTATTGTCATACCAAGATCATTTGTGCAGCATCCAGCAACTGGCTGCTTTGTCCTGGACTGTCCTCAATGGTCGATGGTGCTGCAGTGGACTCTACCTCAAGTTAACTCTTGTAACTGGCTTGTTCAGCTCAACACGAATCTATTATTTTTGACTCCAATGGTCAGTTTCAGAGTCTCTACTGAGGAATACTGTAACTCATATTGACTCTGACTCGGTAGGCCAGGCCTCTTAACATGAAAATGTAGATAACTGGCTTCTAATTAAAACCCATCTTCAGCTCTCTCTGGGAAAACAAGGTGCATTGCACAAAATCAACAGTAGGTGTCCCCATAGCCCACTGGGCTTCAGATTTGCTTTGGAAAAGGAACAGCAATCAATGCTGGCGATTAACGGCCATTTGAAAGGAAGTCCCACATCTCTTTGGATTAGTATGTGGTTTTATATTCCAAAGATTGGAGGTGTAGCCTGCCCCAGATCATGTTACACAGTGGCATGTAAAATGTTACAAAAACTGGAATATCCTTCCTATTTTAAGGAGTTAAAAAAATTATAGATAAAAGTTTTGGTCATGAAAAATGGATCTTTTAAATTAAATATTTTAACATTATATATGTTATTTGGATTTTCGAGGCCTTCTGTAAATTCAGCCCACTGATGCATATTTGAAATAGCAAATGTGCTTTTGTTTACAGCCATTGAAAGGAACAACTTAATGAGGCTCTCTCAGAACATACCCTTTACACCGATCCAACTGTGTGGTAAGCCGTGTTTGCACCTTCCTGGGCTTGGCGAGGGGAGGAGGGTAACAGCTGAAGAAGAGGTCAATGAGGAAAAAAAGAACATAGCATCATTTAAATAGAAAATTTCCTAAAATAGAGAATCTTGGTGAGTGTTTAGGGTCCAGGTGTAAAGCTATGGGAATCAGACTCATATGAGCAGCAGCCGGGAAGAAAGCAAGAGCATTATACCTGCCAGGCACTGACCTGAGGCTGGGGCCACATCAGAAAGAAAAAGCACAGACGACCATGTGTAATGAGCCCGGAAGAGAGCGGTTGGTGTCTACACGTGAAAGCCATCAGGCCTGCAAAGTGCTTTGCATCTATCTATCTATCTATCTATCTATCTATCTATCTATCTATCTATCTGTTTGTATACGCTTTGTTTGTATAATTGCTTTTACCCCAGACTATAAATGCAATTTTAAAGGTTGAAGTTATCAAATAAAAAAAGCTGGCATTAGCTGAGGCTGACAGTTTCTCTCTGTGAGCCAATGGACAGTAGGTCAAGGACCCCATGTCGTTCTTGATCCCAGTTCAGCTTGCAGTGTTCTCTTGGGGACACATTGGTTGCCTTCTTCTCTTGCACTCATGCTGGCTTTACAGATCCTCAGTTCTACTCTAAATCATCTGGGAATCGCAACCTGGAAGAGGTCTTCAGTGGCATTTATCTGGGCACCAAGTGTTTGGAGATCCATGACTGTGCTATTCTCAGCTGTGTTTATCATGAGGAGTTAGATGTGAGAATGAGGGGATGGATTTTCTTGCTAGGCAGCATGGTGTTTGCCAAAACAAAACAGAATAAAACTCAAAGGTGGAGTGAGAACTTGCCATGGAGGCTAGATAAAGGCTCTGGGTGAACCGTGTCCATCCTGTCATGAGGGATCAAACACCATGCTTTGTGTGGTCTCGGCTCAAGAATGGTCCCTGCCTAGAAGTAGATGCTATAGAGCAGTTAAAAGGAATTGACCTTGCACCTAAAGTCCTAGTCAATGTAATCAACACAACTACCCCATCAGCTGAACAACCTTCCCGGTCTTAGTGATGAGGATGTAGAGGCTTGAAGGAACTTGCCCCAAACTACAAAGCCAGGAGGGAGTATGCTGCCCTCTGACTCCAGTTGGGCTAAACACACAAATGTTCAGTGGGGGTAATATCATCTCTGACCAGGGGAAAAAAAACACTATTTTTCACCTGTAAAGTGCAGACATAGTACATAAACAAATATACAAAATATTTTTAATGTCAATATGTCATGGGAAGGGCAATTAGAAAAGAATGTCTGATCCGATTCCTTGAGGAAATGAGAGTAATCAGTACTAAGTTAAATCGTCTCCTGTAAGTACTTGTCCTTAACCAAAGACGACTGTTTCGGATTGGTTTTTGTTCAGTTGTAGTTTACAATTAGAACGATCTAATTTTCATATCTTATTGGGTATTTTGTCCTTCTTCCCTTCCTGCCTTTTCTGAGAACACAGTAACACGAAAATGTGGCCAGGCCCTTGTCCTTACCGCGGTCTGGTCACTGCTCACCCCTTGCTGCTTGGATCATGCAGGCAACAGAGCTGGTCCTGGTCTGACACTTAGGCTGCTGTCCATACCGCGAACACGGTACTTGGCTCAACTCCTTGCCTGCATGTCTCTTGGCAGGGGGAGAAGAAGTCACTGTGTACAGACTGGAAGAGAGTTCCCCTTTGAACCTTGCTAAAAGCGTGTCCTCCTGGTCTGAGCGTGGCAGAGCTGCCGTGATCCAGGTGCTGTCCCGAGAGGAGATGGGTGGGGGCCTCCGCAGAGCCATGCGGGTCATCAGCACTTTGTCGGAGGACGACGTGCTCAAGCCGGGACAGGTGTTCATTGTGAAGTCCTTTCTCCCAGAGGTTGTGCAGACGTGGTATAAAGTCTTCCAGGAGAACACAGTGCTGCAGCTTTGTCTCAGGGTAAGTCTGAGACTCAGAGATCCCAAGGCGGGACAGATAAGTCATACAAAGGAGATCTGCCATTGTCTTCCGCCCAAAAGGGAGTCTTACTGTTTGATGGTGTTTCTTGTTGTTATTTTGTAGGACTGCTTCTTTGGGGACATAGTAAGATTATACGTCACATCTGTATACCCTTTATTGTATTTTATGGTCATTCTTTAGCACCCATGTCATGATAAATCAATATTTTATCGATGTTCTTTATATTGTAGGAAATTCAACAACAAAGAGCCGCTCAAAAGCTGATCTGTACTTTCAACCGAGTGAAACCACGTACCATACCCTACACGCCAAGGTGAGGAAATCCTGGCTGTTTGGGCTTTTATTTCATCTTATTTTTTGGAAAGATTTTTTTTTTATTGGAAAGTCAGATTTTTAAAAATTTTATTTTATTTGGGATTTCCCCCCCCCACAAACTTCCACCCCCCGATAGGTTTTCCCCACGTTGCTACAATGGTATAGTCCTTCATAAGGAGTCATAATTCCATCAGTCTCTTATTTAAGTGTGCCCCGACATTGCTGGTACAGACAGTGTCAGACAGTCTGACATCCCATTGTCTACACATTTCCAACAGTTTCCTTGGAGTCCGTCTTTTGTTTGGAAGCAGGAATGCATGTTGCATTGTACCCCCACATCTGGATATGGTATAACCCAGTACTCCATCACTATACATTTCCATAAATGAGAAGCCATGAAAGAAGGTCCACAACTGTTATAATCAGAACAATAGCCACAAAAACAACAAATTACAGCTCCATGAAAAAAAAAACCACGCCACCGAGTAACCAACACATGGGTGACAAAAAGGAAACACAGAAGTCTCTTGGGAAAAATGATGCCACCATGTAATCCATGAGCCAGTGATGAATTCGATGAGGAAAGAAAGTATTTGGAATAAATGAAACGAAAATAAAAAACATCAAAACACATGGGATGCAGTCAAAAAAAATAAAAAACCCAGTATGGATTGGGTTATTGAAGTTACGCTTTCCATGATGGTTTCTTTATATTAGAGAGTAGAAAGTCAAATTTACAGAGAGGAGAGACAAAGAGAAAGATCTTCCATCCACTGTTTTACTTCCTAAGTGGCTGCAATGGCCAGAGCTGAGTTGATCTGAAGCCAGGAACCAGGAGCTTCTTCTGGGTCTCGCATGTGGGTGCAGGATCCCAAGGCTTTGAGCTATCCTCTGCTGAATTCTCAGGCCATAAGCAGAGAGCTGGCAGGGAAGTGGAGTGACCAGGACATGAACCAGCACCCACATGGCCCCCTGGCAGTTGCAAAGCAAGGATTTATCCACTAGGACAACATGCAGGGCTCTTGGCTTTTGTTTTAAACAGGAATTTCTGGTGGTTTCTTCTCAGAATTTAAAATTCTCTTGACCTTATGTTTGTGTTCTTCCTTCTGCATTTCTGTGAGACTGATGAAAGAGAATTCAATGTCTCAGAGATACTTTAGCTTAAACTACTGAACTGGGAAAAAGAAGTTCTGGCAACATTTTAATTATGCCAAATAGAAAGATCTTGGGTGTCATTTCTAATGTCTGGGAGCATTATGGCAGAAAAATATTCCCATTGGAAGTGTAGTTTTGCCCCCTAATATCTTAAAGAAATTAGGGATTTTATAAGAATGAATCCTCATTACTTTCATTTTACTGTATTCACATACTTGCATTCATTTCTCAAGACATTATAATTTGGGGTTGAGGTCTTAGGATGAAGCTTATAGAGCATAGCAAGAAAAGTCCAGTACTCATAAAAGAGATGGGGATTTTTCTAAAGAGATGGGAGACAAGAAAGCATGGAGAAAAATCTTCCATCTTCGCATTCAAATTCTTTCATAGAAAGGCTAAGGGCGTGAGTCCTGGGACTGCGTCTGATCAGAGTTAGGTAACATCTGCTGCTAACTGTTCATTTAGCAAGGCCTACTTCTTGGAGTCCTATGAAGCATTAATGGCCCCTGTCCTTCTTCCAGGTTCCTGGAAGTTTTCTTAATCTACTGCCATTCGGCCAACCAATGGTTGACTATTGAGAAGTACATGACAGGGGAGTTCCGGAAGTACAACAACAACAACGGTGATGAGATCACTCCCTGCAACACCCTGGAGGAGCTGATGTTGGCTTTCTCTCACTGGACCTACGCGTATACTCGGGGAGAGCTGCTGGTTTTGGATTTACAAGGTGATTGGCTGTGGGGAATTTGAAACAACAAGTATGAGGCAGAGTCAGCGATCTTGTGGGAGCCAGATGGACAACATACATAATTGCTCTATCGAGATTTGAAGGGAGATGGGGACATTTATTTCAGAGACATTGTGTGGTAATGATCATTTTTCCCATTTAGATGAAGAGAAAAATGCAGGTCAGCAATTAGTTTTTCAAAATTTGAAGACACTGAAAGTTTTGAACTGGAATGGGGTATGATTACACCAAAATTTCCAGTTTCATGGCTTTGATTTGCACTTACATATACATAAACTTGCATTTATATACACAAGGAAATTTGAATGGTTGGCTTCAAGATTTTGGGTTTATTGCCTTAGCAATTTCTAATCTAGCTTCCTTCTTTGCCCCATCCCCCCCTTTTTTTGAAGATTTATTTCTACTTTTTATTGGAAAGGTAAACTTTGAGAGAGAAGAAACAGAGAAAGATCTTCCATCTGCTGGTTCACTCTCCAAGTGGTTGCAATGGCCTGAGCTGAGCTGATTCAAAATCAGGAACTTCTTTCAGGTCTCCCATCTGGGCGCAGGGTCCCAAGGCTTAGGGCTGTCCTCTACTGCTTTCCTAGGCCACAAACAGGGAGTTGAATGGACAGTGAAGCAGCTGGGACATGAACCAGCACCCATATGGGATCCTGGTGCATGCAAGGGGAGGATATAGCCTAGGTTACCACACCAGCACCTACTCCACCCTTGGTACAACAGCTTATGAGAAAACACGTGAGTCTGAGAGAGGCAACACAATATGTTCTGATTTAATGGAAACCTTTGATCACCACATCTCACTATCGACACCTCATGTGTGTCTTATGAATCTGCAGTGAGTCTCCAGTAGGCTTTCCTTGCAGGGCAGAGCAAAGTAGGTAGGAAGGTCTACGTTTAGTCATTGGAGTCACTGGGTGGGGCTTTAGCCTAGGGACTTTCGTGGATGCCATGTCATTTGATCCAAAGGCAGCATCTTGAAGTAAATATTGTGGGAGAGTTGAGAAGAGCTTCTCAAAGTTGCACAGCAACTTAAAGGATACTATGGTGGAAATGTAAGCTGCCTTGACTATACAGGTTCTAATCTTTTCATTATAATATCTTATTCTTGAAGCATCTCATACCCATTGATCATTTAAACAACTTAGGCCCTCTTCTTGTCCCCTGTGACATTTCCAGCTGTCCAGTTCTGGAATCTCTGTTGGAAGCCAAGCTTGAAGACTGAAGACTCCATAGACAATTCTGGGCATTAGGGGCAAAGTCCATGCGACACCCAAATTATTTTAATCGAAATATGTGTCACACGCTCCAGACTTTAATGTATTCTTGAAACTGTCTCAGTATCTCTGTCCTTTGAGATTCCTGTTGTTTACAAGACTGGAATACATTTCTAATTCTCAAACAGAACATTTTGGGAAGCAATATTAACACTAAAACAAGCATTATGATTCAGCTTTTAAAGCAGCAAGCTCTTGATCCATGTAAGCTCAGAGTGCTGGTGCCCAAGGCATCTTTCTCTAGCTCAAGTTGGGGAGAGACTGATTACTTTCATCTGTGCTTCACTGTTTTGTGCTTTGAGTTTTGGGTGGAGTTGTTTAAAAAGCAAAAACAGAAACAAGCAAAAAAAACAAAACAAAACAAAGAAAAACTTTAAGGAATTAATGATGACTCTTCCGTGTATTTTGTATTCCACTTGAATAGGTTTTTGTTTAATGATGTTTGTGTTTGGGGATTCTTACATCTCTTAGTAATCCAAAGTGACATTAAACAGAATAAATACCATGTTGATAGTTTTAGGGGAAAAAAGGAATTAACTTTATTCTTTTGCTGGGCAATTATGTGAATTGCAGAAATAGGCCACTTCAAATAAACTGTGTCAAAACATTGACCTTCAAGGAAGGGAAGAGTGGATATCATAGACTGATTGATGAAATCCAAGATACTTATCAGAGTTTGGACCAAACCGGAACGAGCTTATGAAAGAACATGCATCTTATGATAGTGATTGTAAATCGTTGACATTACTAGTGATGCTTTTAACTAACACTTACTAAGTACTTATTTTGCGCCAGGCACTTGGCTAAAGAGCTATGCATATTAGCATATTTAATCCAAACCAGGTTGGAAAGCAAAAAGGAAGCAAATATATTTCAAAAGTGGCTTAATGGTGTTTCATCTGGTTTTGTGTGTATTTAATTTCTTTGCCTTTCTGGTCTTTGGAGAGATGGCATGTGGTGTCTGGGTGGTGAGAGTGGAGAGCGGGATTCTTGGGGCAAGAGTCAGGAGGAAGGAGAGCTTTCTTGGGGCAGAGACTCTTGGCTTGGCTCTGACTCTTGGCTTCACCGTGTAATTCCTGCAGTGACCCGGGGCAGTAACCACCTTGAGTTCCACTTGCCTCTGTTGTATAGTGACAACATGGCATTATACCCTTCTGATATAGGGCTCTCAAGGGGCTGGAGTCAGACAAGACCACTGCAGAGAAGCCCGCGAGTTATTGTGATAGTGTTAGTTTTATGTGGCTCTTTGGAGGTTAATCTGCATTGTGAGGAGTCCAACCTGAACTCTGTGGTTGCGGCGGTACAGCAGGGAGACTGCAAGTTTGAGTTGTGCAGTGAAACGCCCTCGCTTAGTGGCATGGCCACTCTGTTGAGAAGGAGAGAAGGAATGAGAAACACTGAGGAAGTTGATTATTTCTCCACGTCCTTACTTTCTTCCAGTGAGTGCTAATCATAATCCTAGAAACTGTCACACCCATAGACAAAGCTGAATCTTGGAAGAGGCTTGGCCAATTTCCAATCGTTTGTAATTATCCTGAAGCCTTCTGGTCATCTTTCACTTAAAAGCTTACATGTGGGCCCGGCGCGGTGGCGCAAGTGGTTAAAGGTCCTCACCTTGCACGCCCGGGATCCCATATGGGCGCCGGTTCTAATCCCGGCAGCCCCGCTTCCCTTCCAGCTCCCTGCCTGTGGCCTGGGAAAGCAGTCGAGGACGGCCCAAAGCTTTGGGACCCTGCACCCACGTGGGAGACCCGCAAGAGGCTCCTGGCTTCGGATGGCATAGTATTGGCCCGTTGCGCTCACTTGGGGAGTGAATCATCTTCCTCCCTGTCTCTCCTCTCTGTATATCCGCCTTTCCAATGAAAAAATAATAAAAATAAATCTTTAAAAAAAAAAAAAGCTTACATGTGAGGGCTTGGATCATCACCATCATTACACTCAAAATCTGACATTTAATTCCCAGCACTGGAAATTAAAAAGAATTGTATTTCAAATGATGATGACTTATAGCATTTTTTATGCTCATTTATTTTTCAAAGGACTTTTGGAGACACAATATTTTCCTTCAGGAAGGCAGTTTTCAAAATAAGGCAGCATTAGTGTAGACATCATTGTCATAAACGGTGTTGGCACAATGATAGATTCTGTCCACAGAAGTTCATTGATACACCAAAAGATGGTTGAGATCAGAATGTGACATGAGCATTTACTTTGGTAAATAAAAAGATATTGAGTTAAAGAGATATTGCTAGGAGTTTTAGATGTTAACATGCTTTATTTTTCCCAAGTTTTGGTAGAGTATGACTTTCCAACCTGCCCTGTTTAGTTACTCCATGGTTAGAGATGCTAAGCCTCTCTAGGCTATTTCTTTTTTTAAAGATTTATTTTTTTATTATTTTTGTATTGGAAAGGCGGATATACAGAGAGGAGAGACAGAGAGGAAGATCTTCCGTCCGATGATTCACTCCCCAAGTGAGCGCAACAGGCCAATACTATGCCATCCGAAGCCAGGAGCCTCTTCCGGGTCTCCCACGCGGGTGCAGGTTCCCAAAGCTTTGGGCTGTCCTCGACTGCTTTCCCAGGCCACAGGCAGGGAGCTGGAAGGGAAGCGGGGCTGCCGGGATTAGAACCGGCGCCCATATGGGATCCCGGGCGTGCAAGGTGAGGACCTTTAACCACTTGCGCCACTGCGCCGGGCCCTAGGCTATTTCTTATACAAAGTGTCTTCTAAGAGTTCGTGGAAAATATGTATAATGAAAAAAAAACTGCACGTTTTGTACCAAAACAAACTTTTAATTCTAATCTCCGTGAACTTTTTGAAGTTCCATCATGTACATAATGAGAAAAGCAGAAAAGAGTCTCTTCCTGTGGCTTTTTCTTTCTAGGGAATAAGGCTGAGCTAACACATTTAGTGTCCTTTGTCTATGCCTGCGTTTCTATCTTTATGTCTTCCTATTGAAAATCAATGTGCACAGAGGTGCTAAGCCAGGGATTCTTAAAGGGCTTCTGGAAGGAATTCAGAATGCCTGTGAACTTTGATGAGGAAAGGAATATCAGCTTTATTTTCACTAACCTTTAACTGAAATCCACCATTACCTTCAGCGATGAGAAAGACCACAAACGCGCTGATGTTGACAGCGCCTCTTGCTGTTCATTGCAGACTCCAGAGAGTTGCATGGCGCAGTACAGTGTGAGCCAGCATCGAAAAATAATTGTTTATGTTTATCCCCTGCTGGATGTTACAGTGGTTGGTAGACCTGTGCTACATCCTGCCACTGAATATATTAATAGAGTAGCCCATATGTTCCAATACAGCAATTTTAAAAGTTTTGATAACTCTATTTCAATACCATTGGTTTCCCATGTAGTTATATATATACTCAATATTATGCATTTTAGATGATGATTAACTTCACCAGAATGACAATGATCATGCCACAATAAAGGTTGAAAACCTCTATTCCAAGTTCTAGGATACCACATGTTATTCATCTAAGGAATTCAATTTCCTAGGGAGAAGGTCTGGAACGATTACAGTTTCTTGTGACAGGTTTACCATAATGTAAAACATCAGATCAAAGCAAATATCATGAAGAAATACTGAATAGAACATACACATTTTTTAAACAAATAGAAATACGTAACAATGTTATACAATTCTCTCCCAGAAAGTCAGAATCCGTTCAACAGAGAGAAGACATATTGAATAGAGAAGGAGCTGAGAAGTGATTGAGCTGTGCTCACATGAGACAGTCATGTGTCTACCCTGCTTCCCTGCAAGGTTGCTTAGAAATCAGCCCCTCGCTACTTGCATTTGCTGAGGATCCCTGTTGTTTTCAGTTCCAGCTTCGGATCGCACCTGTGCCATCTTTTCAGGCTTTGATGTCGTCTTCTGTAAAGTACATTTTCTGGAGAGCATTATGCATCCAGAAGAATACACAGAACATGAACACATATCTCAAAGATGTTTACAACTGAACACACAGGCATGACCAGGTCCAAGATCAAAATTTGTTGTCACTTCTACTTTGCTGCATATATATTTGACATTTGGTGTGTTTTGATGGGACAGAGGTTGTACCTGCAAAACTGCACAGCACTTCCCGCCTGACTGGGCAAAGACAGGATCCATCCAGGACCAACGTAGGGGCTGTGCAAACTTTGGCAGATCCATCTCTTTGAACATTTGATGAGCTTGTAAAACAAGGAGACAAACAGTCTTTTATGTTGATTGGGAATTAGAGAAAACAAAACAGGAATGTCTAGTATAGACAACTGGTCAATGATTGGCACCTGTCACTCTCAGTAACTGTGGATACACCACTCTAAAACATTCATTTTTGGTCTAGGAGTTTATTATAGCAGAAGAGGTTGGGAGAGACAGTGCATTGACTAAAACTTCCAAATACTCCTGGATGATTTTAATACATTTAATTCAAATGATGCTTAATTTACTACAGAGTGGGAATAAGCTTTAATAAAGACATTAGATTTTGACTATTTTCTTGAATGCCTATAAAAGTGTCTGTCTCTCCACCTCATCACAGCCATTTCCTAAATACATTTTGTTTCTTCTTTCGAGGTGTTGGAGAAAATTTGACAGATCCATCTGTTATAAAACCTGAAGACAAACAGTAAGTTAATTTACGTGTTTTCACTTAGAAAACTGAATTTAATGCATTGCACATGCTTTCAAGAATGATTTGTAAACATATATGTTTCTTGTGGAGGTCCTAGAAAGTTATCGAGGCAGCTTATATATGCATATATATATATTCAAAACACTCAGATAAGAAAAAAATCACAGATTAACGCATGGGGATAAAAAGAAAATACAGAATTAAAATATGTTTAGATCTGGAGTTAGGTTAGTGCAATAAGTGGAAGTTCCAAGGACCAATGTTGTCGCCGGAACTTGATTGCAAATTCAACTCTGAGGCGTCTAGTGGTCAAACACAAGAGAAATATGGAAGTGTAGTCCTTCTAGGCTTTGACGTGAAAACGATTAATGCAACAGACTCAGCTTCCTTTATTATCCTTGTAGTGGAATCATTGCATTGTATCATGGGCAGCACCTTCCATCACAGGCTTAGGAGACAAAAGCTCAGGGCACACAGAGTGCTTTTCAGAGAGGCCCAAAGCAATGGGGGCGTAATTGGGAAGCATCAGATTTTCCTATTTAATTCGGAGTCGAAGACCAAATGGTATAAAACTGTGACTCACCCGTCTGTACTTTGAACTCTCTTGAGCATTTGGTTCATGTGCAGGCCTTTGGGGAGACTTGGCAGTGGAGGAGCTGAGGCTGTGTTCTGTTAAAGGCGGCATCTAGAGAAATGATGGCGCCAATTAAGGTGGATCAATACAGCGGAAAACAGTGGTCCTCAAACACGAGGCTGCAACATGACAGCTTGTCAAAACAGACTGCTGGGCCCCACCCCAGAGTTTCTGATTCAGCAGCTTTGGGGCACAGCCAACTAATCTGCGTTTCTAATAAGTCCCGCTGTGTGACTGTGTCACTGTTGGTTCATAGGCCACACTTCGAAAACTGTAGTTTTACTTCTTAGTTGTCATACATGTCCATAGTTGTTCTCCAGATTTTATATGTGTATATATATATATATATGTAAATACCCCTAAATGAGCAATCCTGACACAAGAAAATCCACGTTCCCCGCTCCGTTGCTAGCAGAACTCCCAAGTACTCAGAGCTTCAAATCTCTCCTTGAATGGTTTCACTGGATTTAGATCTCGTCTCTTCTACAGGCGTCTGTGCAGGGGTGCTCTCAGTAAACACACGTTAGATGTTTCCCTGGATTAGCAGAGCTGGAGGAAGTTAACCGGAGCCTTGTTAGGTGTGCACCTCATTCTTTTTTTTTTTTTAAGATTTAAAAATTTATTTTTATTGGAAGTCAGATATACAGAGAGAGAAAAGAGAGGAAAAGAGACAGACAGGAAGAGCTTCCATCCGTTGATTCATCTCCCAAAGCTGCTGCAATGGCCGCTGCTGTGCCAATCTGAAGCCAGGAGTCAGGAGTCTCTACCAGGTCTCCTATGTGGGTGCAGGGTCCCAAGGCTTTGGGCCATACTTGACTGCTTTCCAGGGTGGCCACAAGCAGTGAGCTGCTGGGATCAGAACTGGCGCCCATATGGGATCCCAGTATGTGCAAGGCGAGGACTTTTGCCACTAGGCTACCACGCTGGGCCAGTATCTCATTCCTATGATGCTTGTTTGGTTCTGAGTCCTTGCTCTAACCCTTGCTCTAACAGCTGCACCTGCAGGCTTCTGTAGTTCTCACTTTGGCTTAGGGTCATTTCCGTTAGGAATATTATTTCTGTAGGATCCCTGCGAGCCTAAGGAGTTGTTGAACGACTTATCCTATAGCTGCTTTATTCTGTGGTTGCCCACAGAAGGTTATGCATATATTATGAAACAAATTTGTGTATTCTTCATCATTGATTAAATGTTGACCTTGACATATCACTTAATTTGATCTGACAATTCCATCTTTCACAATTCAAACATTTTATTATTCCACTATACAGTTGAATATTTAATTATATTCGATGGATCAGTGGGTCTCAATTTCTATTAAAGTCACCTGAAGAAATAATAATAATAATAATGATAATATAAAAGATGGTCAGAATTGGCCTCAAAATTAGAATGTTAGAAGGAGGGCCTTGATTTCTGTATTTTTAAAAAATTCCCTGTCTGAATCATGGGAAATTGGGGTTAGGAAGCTCTGACTATGCCAACTTTGTTTTTTTATATTTGAAGGAAGGAATGCTGGAAAATAACAGGATGGCATCTTTCTGGGCAGCCTGGTTTTCTTGGCATCATCCAATTTTGAGTATAGTTGATCTTTTTGCTATAGATGACAAGAAATGTTACTTTCTCACAGTGGTGGGGAATTACTTCTGATAGTGCAATCAGGCCCAGTTTTGAAAGCCATGTGTGTGTAAAGTCCTTCGTATTCTCAGTGAGGGCCATGGACCAGCCCCACCAGTGTCACCTGGGAGTTACGGCTGCAGCATGTCAGGGCTCTCATTAGAACTACAAATCTTGAACCAGCACCAGATGGAAGATTTCAGCTGGTAGAAATCGAAGTATGAGAAGTACTGTTTTAAGAAAGTGTTTTCACACCTATTTAGCCTTGGGAACAGGACTGGAAGAAGCATCATTGCCAAGCCCAGTTGATAAATGAGGAGGCCGAGGCTTGATGAAGACCTCCGCTGGCTTGTGAGGGAGAGGGTCAGTGGGAGGGAGTAATCTCCCATCCAAGAGCTGTTGTGTTCTCATCGCCTGTGGTTGCCTAACTCCCCCTAACCTCCTGCCCCAGTTGGAGGTGATTTGGTGTTGGATGTTTTTTGGCCTACTGCCTTGATGGTTTTGGGCTTTTCACAAGCATGAAACAACAGCGATGAGATGTTCTTTAGTAAATCTATGTATAGATGCCACTAATTAGCGTTTCCTCGCGTGTGGAACCAAGCTACCACCTGCTTTTCCTGTGTTGTGAGAAATCTGGAAAACAGCTAGCTGTAATTTTTTTTTTTTAACTTGATGAATCAGGGAGCACAAGGCCGTAGGTATGCTTTAGGGTACAGCTGCAGAAGCAGGCGGAGGCAGCCCTCCTTCACCGGCAGGTGCCGAGGGGCCAAACCTGTGATGCGGTCCTTAGAATCCTTCTGTCTTAACTTTCATAAAGCTCAGAGGGAGGAGTGAGTTCAGCTTGCAGCTTTTATCTGCAAATCAGGGTCACCTCTCCACGTTGGGGATTTTCACATTTGCTGGGAGGAGAGAAATGGCAGCTATCGAATGCAAAGAAGTGAAATTACCTCCATGGGGTCATGCTGGAGAGACTATAAAAAGGAATTGTTCAGTTTTAATGACTGAAGTAACACCTTCTCTTTTCACTGTCGATGTCTTGGTCTAAATACTGAGTGAGTCCTTCTCCCACCTCAGCCTCACCTTATTGAAGTCGTTCCCTACCAGATGGCCTCAGAGAGAGGAAGAGTTAACAAGAGGCAGCTTGTGCAGCTGGGTAAACACCACCGAGTGGTACTTTGTGAGAGCGATTGAGTGACCAGGAAAGCTAATGCTGGGTGTCTGTTCACTCTGTCTTCCCAAGAGATTCCCTCCACCTACTTGCCTCCGAGCAAAGAGGCAATCTGAGCTCCAACTGACACCAGCCCGCACTCGGAGCTTGGCACATCTTCAGAGCAGCTACTGTGATTCTGCCAAAAAGAAGTGGAAATTGAGATAAATGTTTCAATACTCGGATGGAAAAAAGTCCGTTTTTACACCATGTCCCTTTTGAAAAACCGCATTCCTTAGAAGCGGAGTTTATTCTTTCCCTTTGTGATAGTTGGCTTGGCTTTTTTCTTCAGACGTGGTATTTAAGGGCGGTAATTGAGTTCACATTTGAAAATGTGCTGTTTCCACTCTGCATGTCATTAAAATAAAATATTAGCTTTCATAAAGTTTCTCTGGAAGTGTTTGTAGCGTGCTCCACTCCGTGTCGTGCCGTGTGAGAACTCTGAAGTTATACTGGCTGTGTGCGGAGGGGTAGTGGCTGGAACGTTGCTTCTCGAATCTGCCGGGGTCTATTATAATTATAGAGTGTTGCAAAAGGGCCTTTTATACAGTGATTCTATTTGTGTTTTGTCACCTACGTCGAGCATATGTAGTTTACTTCCTCAAACACATTGTCTCGTGTGGTCTTGTCTTTTCACCAAAAACCCAGCCAGAGCGGTTTGCAATAGGAGAAGGTGCCTTTAGAGAGAACTATGAATGCTGGACTTAGGGTCTGATCAGGTGTGTATCTTTTTGAAGACAGTTATTTTTTAAGAAAAGTAATTAGATTTGAAAAAAAAAATGGTGCACGCATCTTTTTACAGGATGTGTTCCAACAGAAAATTTATTTCCCTTTGTACCTTACCTTTCGGGTAATCTAGTAGAACATTTGGTAATGAATGTCATTCTCTCACCCCATATGCATTAAAAAGGGTCTTAGTGTGTTTTGCTTTAATGTGGTACATAGAAAATTCACTCTTCTATCAGATTTGCGTTGAAATGAGTTTCACAGTAGGTCTTGGAGTTGAGGACAAAGATTTCAGCGCATTTGAATTTTAAATTCGCAGACCTGACATTGTTGCTTCTGCGAAGTACTCTTTCTCTCGTGGCTCCTTGGAGTTTACTGGGTTACTATGGGATACTGTTCGGTATCTCAGAGAATCCTAGTACAGCTCCTTTTTCTTCACTGTGATCTAATTGATATTCTGATATTTCCTCCAGATCAAGAGGAATGGTGTTTGGACCGGCCAATTTAGGGGAAGATGCAATTAGAAACTTCATTGCAAAACATCGTTGCAATTCCTGCTGCCGGAAGCTCAAACTCCAGGGTATGCCACAAACAAATTCTATTTTTCTCTGAGGAAATCTCTCCCAGAACAACGTCCATTGTAACCTGGGAAAGAGCAGAAAATCTTAATCACATTTTCACCTCATTCACAGACATTCGCAGAGCCTGACTTGGTGACTGAAAACATTTTCAAATCTCTAAAGAGATTAAAAGGACAGGGATTTTACTTCAGATTCTGACAAAATGTATTGAAACAACATAGGGCCTGATCCTTGCCACAGTTGCTCTTAGGGAACAGTCCCACTGAGTGAAATGGGGGTGCAGTGTGGCTGAAGCACGTCCCTCCCCTTGGGTCCTGCTTGCACCCTGTTGGTGGTTGCATTTGTGGTCCCAACAGCATTTCTGGCTTATTTTAATTTACTCATTGGATGCTTAGGAAGGTGGGGAAACAGATGGAAACAGTTGTGTTTTTCACTGTAAAGGCCTATGACTTTAATATACTGCAGTCTGCTTGAATCCAACTTGGTGATGTGGCATACTTTCTCTGAAACCAGTGGCAATCATTACAGAAAATATTCAGACAAAAAAGCAAGCAGCCGGAGGTGGGTGCCCTCTTCACCTGCAGTCCCCGCTGGGCCACCTGCTTTGCTTCTGTCTCAGAAGAGACACTTGGCACCAAACCTGGCCTTACAATGGAATTTTCCATGCCTTAGTTTTCTCAAATTAAAAGAGAAGTATTTATTTTTATTTGAAAGGCAGATTTACAGAGAAACACATGCACACACATACACACACACCACACACACACACTCACAGATCCTCCATTCATTGGAGAGAGAGAGATCTTCTACTCATTCCCTAAATGGCCTCAACAGCCAGAGCTGGAAACTTTCTCCAGGTCTCCCATGAGTAGTGGGACCCAAGCATCTGGACCATCTTTTCTGCCTTCCCAGGCACATAAGCAGGGAGCCGAGTCAGAGAGGGAGCAGCCGGGATTTGAATCAGCACCCATAGGGGATGCCAGCACTGTAGGCAAAGGCTTAACTTGCTATGCCGTGGCACTGGCCCCCCAGTTTGGCATACTTTAAAATGAGTAGTCCATCCTGCTTTATAACAAGCAATCATTCCTTCCCAGCTGGAGATTAGTAAAAGAGCGTGGTTTAGTGCTGCCAGGGATGGAGCTGTAAACGTGTTTGTCCACGAGGGCAATTTGCGTCTTTTTGGAGTTTTGGGTAAGAAAAGCTCTTGTGGGGAAGACGTGGATTTATTTAGAGCAGGCCCCAGATTCCAGGAGCGACACTTGTGTGTTAACCAGGGGTGAGGGTGGGCATGGAGGCACTCATGGGGAAGAGAGATCAAATTGAAACAAGAAGGGAGCCGCAGTCTCTCTCATCACTGCCTAGGACCTGCTCTCTCACTGGTCACTTTTTAGATCTTGGCTAAGAGAGCAGTGCAGAACACACTGGCTAGGACAACACTGGCTTCTCGGTTCTGAAGGAGCCCAGGAAGAGGCTGGGACTGGGCTGAGAGGCCGCAGGGCCTCAGGCACGTGCAGTCTATCCGCCTGACCATGTGTTCTTTGGATCCGCCTGTAACCATCTTTACTGTCTTCCTTGCAGATTTAAAGAGAAGCGACTATTCCCCTGGAAAGGTAAATCCTAGCTTAGGACTTGATACCAACAGAGAGCCACCTGAGGAGTCTGCAGAGAAGGACAAGAATGGACATGCCCAGGAATACCATACTCGACTGTGAAAGGAGGAGGGATGAAGGACAGTGGTCCTCACGCTTCCTGCTGTGAGCTGTGCAGTGACATGGATTAGGTTGTTCCACATGGAGCACACCATGGCAGAACAGCTGTATGTGGTATGCCTCGCTGGGACACACACCTTCTGAGCCCCACACCATGCCTTGTCCAAAGGCCTCTCTGGTCTACGAAGGGTTCTCGCTGTAGACCTTGGTCCAGGGCGATTTGCATGTGTTCTGTGTCTTCCGGTTCCACATGAAGATACTTGGATGAGTCAGCTGGGAATACTGTGCTTTTATACCTCATTGCTTTAGCTGGTCGCTAGGAACCTTTGGAGCAAAAATACTGTGCAATAAAGGACTAGGGGGATGAATTTAATTTATTTTCTCACTATGTGTTCAAAGTCTACCCCCTACTGCTATATATCACCTCATCCGTATATTGTGCTTACGTATATATGTGTGTACATTAAACAGTTACTTGACTTTTTCCTCTTCTCTTTCCAACAGCCCAGGGCTTTCAATAGCAACAGCAGAGAAAACGGCGGGGTGAAGGTGTATTTGCACAGACTGTGCAAACTCACCAGTACAAAGTGTCCTGGTGAAGCCTTCAAGTGTCACAGACTCATGTAATGCCTGGGCCTCCCAGGTTGCTGTGAAAGAAAGGAAAAGAGAAATCTGAAACAAATGTCCTCATGTTCCCCGCTCCCCTCTCTTAAATGGGACAGCGAGGGTACGTAGAACTGGAAAGGACTAGAAGAGGGTTTCTTTTTTTCCGATGCACAGGGGTACAATCAGAGGGTGGACCAAGTCAACCTCTGGAACACCGCTCTGTCTAAAGCTGTGAATAAAAGGGACTTCACAAAGTCCAGAAAGGGCTAGGATTAACAGAAAACATGATTTTCCTGTAAAATGTTTTTGAAATTTTTGTATCATATATACATTTACCTTAAGGATTTTGAAGATGCTTTGTATACACAGCTTTTGGGGGTTTTATGCGTAAGCATTTTCTGCAGTCAAGTCAACACCCATTTTCCATGAACTTTGCTTGAAGCCCCTCATGTAACACAAATGTAATAGGCTCCATTTTTCTCAGTTAACCCTGGGAAGCAGCAGGATTGCCAACTGAAAGCTTGCTCCACAGGGGCCTGCTTCCTGCTAGGACAGAGGTCCTCTGGATTTCAGGACGAGGGTATTTTAAAGTGCAGGCTGAGAAAGGGCAGCCACCTGTGAGGTTTGAAGGGGAGGATCCCTGGAAGGCACCCCGGTAGCAGGGAAGGGCAGGGCCAGTGGTCTCTCTGGCACTCTGGGTGGGACTGTGCTCCAGCTGTCTGCTCAAGCAGAGATGATGGAGATAGGAAAGCCTCCTCTCCCCAATAGCGCTTTCTTATTGTCTAGTGTTCCAATGTTGGGTTTGAAAAATCTCAGCATTATCTGAGTGGCTTCTGAACCAGCTTTTAATATCTAAGTCTGCTGCCTCCTTAGGCCTTTCCTCAGGGAAACAGTGTCTACAGGGGTAGGAAAATGTTTCAGTGTAATGGTGTCTGCTTATGGTTAGAGTTGTGCAAGCGTTAATTTAACTCCACTTTTTTTTTTTCATAGGTCTTGGGGTGGCTGGAGGTGGGAAATCTGGGTGATTAGTTGATTGAAGTTGATTGACAAAAAGGATAAAGTGTTTTTTTTTTTTCTTCAAGAGTGTGGTAGCTTTATCCTACTCTATGAAGCTCTAAGTGATACAGCGGTACTTTTTCTGTTGCTGCGTTCTGCCATGGGAAGGTGGGATTTTGCCTATACCACGTATAAGACGTATTACACACGCCTTTGTCACTGGGAATGAAACTTGAAAGCAAATACATTTGGAGTTCACATTTCTGCGGTGTGCTTTTTGTTTTTTGCTATGTTGCTTTTATTATTATTATTATTTAATTTGAGAGAGCACACTCCCATCCTCTGGTTCACCTTCTCAGTGCCTGCATTGGTTAGGGCTGCGACAGGCCGAAGCTGGGAGTCTTGACCCGTAAGCCAAATGACTTACCAAGAAGAAAAAATGAGCAAGATGACATTTAAAAAACGTGCACTGTTATGCAAAGGTCACTGTGGGATGCATGCAAATGCCATGCAAATGCCAGGGTGACAGTTTTGACTTTGAGTGATTCATGACCACAAGAGGGTGGAGCATCCATTCATTCATTCAGTTTAATCCCACTGAGGTTTGCTAAATGCCTTTTCTGGGCTGTAATAGAGATGAAGATGCGCTGAGGAACACAGCATTTCTTTGTCCTCAAAATGCTTCTTGTTGTCTCTTTCTGCTTGCTTGTTTGTTTGTATTTATTTCGACCAGGTATTAAGAAATGAGACTTCTGAGCAGTGTTGATTTCAGAGGTGTATCCTATACTAACATCTGCTGGGATGTTAGGTTCAGGCTGGGCTGAGAAAATTAGGCCAACTTAGGGATGGTTAAGCTAGACACAGAGGAAATACAGACGCCCCCTCCCCTGCAGCCCGACAATCTTTCCCTGAGCGCAAAGCCACTCTCACTGATGAGATTCGAATGTGGTGCCGGTTGTTAACGATCTCTCTCCATAGTGCTGCACCTTTCAGGTGTTGTCCTAGCGCTTCTTACAACTCTGGGCTCAATCTGTTTCGCAACCTGTTATTTTCTGTGGCTCTGCCATAAAAATAATAATTGGGTGATTAATGCCTGTAATAAGCACGTGGTCAATGATTAAAGAAAAAGATGTCGCAGCTGGTGTTGTAGCCTAGCGGTTTAAGTTGCTGCCTGCAATGTTGACATCTCATGTGGACATGAGTTTGTGTCCCAGAGGTTCCAGTTCCCATCCAGCTCCTGGGGAAGCAATGAGGAAGGCCTGTGTGCTGACCATATGGGCGACCCAGAGGGAGCTCCTGGCTCTGAGCTTTGGCTTGGCGCAGTCCTAGCCCTTGCAGTCATATGGGCAGTGAACCAGTAGAGGGAAGATCTCTCTGTCTCTTCTCATATCTGTGTCACTTGTCAAAATAAAAAAATCTTTTTAAAAATTGCTTCTTTTTGTTGTTTGTTGTTTGAGATGAAATCAAATGCTTCATCTCTGGAGTTCATCACATGTGTCCCTGTTCTGTTTGCTGTTCTTCCCAACTGGCTATCAGCATCCAGCATCAAGAAGGGCACACAATGTGCATTTAACAGTATTTCTTAGGGAAGTACTAAAATTTCCACATGCCAGTGGATTTCATTCACTAGATGACATATCAAATTTGCATTTTTAATCTGGAAGGGAATGACTACCGATTCCTTAAGAGCCAACACAAGTCTTTTGATGTCCCTCTGTTTTAATTTTCTAGCTTTTAGCAACCTGTACTTTGTCTGTTGATTTCTCCACCAGCTCTGCCCTTATAACCATTGGTGGAAGTGCTGGCGTGCAGTCCTGTACTGGGGACTGCGGAGCGGAGGTGATGGCTTCCCAGCGACTGCCTAGAAATAATCATCACTTGATTACCCTTTGAAAAGAAGATTGATAGAAAAGTCATTTGAAAGATGGTTCGTTACCATGCCCTCGTACTATTTCTTGACTCACATCTCTCCAGCGCCCGAGAAGCGGGGATTATTCTCTGAGGTCGGAAGTTGGAGGCTGTCTGTTTGCCTCTTTGAAGTCTTGCTGTTTAATTTTCTGTAGTCATTTCTTGGGCAATTTTCTAAGAAACTAGTTGAAGCTAATTTATCATAAGTTAAAGTCAAATGACAGAAAAGATTTTCCCCCCTTAATAGCATTTTACTCCGCAGAGCTTAGCTTCTGAAGGAAAATGAGACTTAAATAACATTTCAAATCTCTAGCCACATGGGTGGGTACAACGAATAGGAAGAGTTCTGGAAGCCGCAGTGTTTTTTTGTTTTTGTTTTTGTTTTTTAAATTTGGCACAGTTATTGTTTTGTGATTTTTTTTTCTTTCTAGACAATGAATTACAGGTAATATATTGTGTTTTTTAGGAAACATCCACCTAAAATAATTAGATGAGTTAATTTTTTTCAAAGAAAGATGGTTTAGTCCTCAAGGAACGATGAACCTTGATCTCTACCATTTACAGACTTTTAATCTAACTTTATATAATTTGTTTAGCCTCCCTGTTAACCCCTAACTTGGAAATGAAGAGTCTTCATTTTTCCAATGAAGGTGAGTGATAATGAGACAGCCTCTACAAAGCCCTCTGAGGATTTCATTTAAAAGCCTGCTTGTGAGCGTGGGGTTCACTTCAATAAATAAGAAGGGGTTTTCATTTCTGATCTTATTATTTGATCATTATTTAATGTTTATAGATGATGCTCAGCGGGCCTGTTCCAGTATAAATACAAAGTGCTTTCTGCTATGCTCCCTTTTCCTTAACGGGAGCAGTTCACGCCTCTCTTTGAGTTTCAAGGATTGAAATCAGGACATTCACCATTTGATGGTGTCTCCAACTTCTTTCATTTCAGAATAGACTTAAGCTTACCCAGCTGGTTTCTTTTACCTTTTCTCTGCCTGAAGATAACCTTCCAGGAGGATTAAAGCTGGAACCTTGCATCTTCATTGGTGACATTTTGGAACAACAAGAAAGAGTAGATTTATAATCTTGATGTTTGTAAAACCTGATGCTTCAAAGAAATTTTCAGTGACTGACATTTTGTTCATATGGCTATTTCTGCTAATATGAAAATTCTATCTACTTCTAGAAAACATGTTCTCTTAGCATCAAATTTCCATCAATAGCTCAAATTTTCTTAGAATTTTCATTGAGAACCTATAGAAACTTCACCTACTGAATTAGCCAAAAAGTCCTCATCAATATGATAATCCAAACTCCTTTTGCCTGTTCTGGTTCCACATAGTTGAAGCAATCTCATGATGCAATTCAGCTCCCAAGACCTCCAGAGACACAACGTGATGGTCAGGCAGATAGAAGTTGTATAGTTTACATGGGTTCTATTTTTTGCAATAAATTAATACACTGTCATGTCACACGATGTTATCAAATGGTAG